GATATGCCGCCTGTCCTGTAGTAAAGTGTGTTTTCTGATATGATATGCCGCCTGTCCTGTAGTAAAGTGTGTTTTCTGATATGATATGCCGCCTGTCCTGTAGTAAAGTGTGTTTTCTGATATGATATGCCGCCTGTCCTGTAGTAAAGTGTGTTTTCTGATATGATATGCCGCCTGTCCTGTAGTAAAGTGTGTTTTCTGATATGATATGCCGCCTGTCCTGTAGTAAAGTGTGTTTTCTGATATGATATGCCGCCTGTCCTGTAGTAAAGTGTGTTTTCTGATATGATATGCCGCCTGTCCTGTAGTAAAGTGTGTTTTCTGATATGATATGCCGCCTGTCCTGTAGTAAAGTGTGTTTTCTGATATGATATGCCGCCTGTCCTGTAGTAAAGTGTATTTTCTGATATGGTATGCCGCCTGTCCTGTAGTAAAGTGTATTTTCTGATATGATATGCCGCCTGTCCTGTAGTAAAGTGTTTTTTCTGATATGATATGCCGCCTGTCCTGTAGTAAAGTGTGTTTTCTGATATGATATGCCGCCTGTCCTGTAGTAAAGTGTGTTTTCTGATATGATATGCCGCCTGTCCTGTAGTAAAGTGTGTTTTCTGATATGATATGCCGCCTGTCCTGTAGTAAAGTGTGTTTTCTGATATGATATGCCGCCTGTCCTGTAGTAAAGTGTGTTTTCTGATATGATATGCCGCCTGTCCTGTAGTAAAGTGTGTTTTCTGATATGATATGCCGCCTGTCCTGTAGTAAAGTGTGTTTTCTGATATGATATGCCGCCTGTCCTGTAGTAAAGTGTGTTTTCTGATATGATATGCCGCCTGTCCTGTAGTAAAGTGTGTTTTCTGATATGATATGCCGCCTGTCCTGTAGTAAAGTGTGTTTTCTGATATGATATGCCGCCTGTCCTGTAGTAAAGTGTGTTTTCTGATATGATATGCCGCCTGTCCTGTAGTAAAGTGTGTTTTCTGATATGATATGCCGCCTGTCCTGTAGTAAAGTGTGTTTTCTGATATGATATGCCGCCTGTCCTGTAGTAAAGTGTGTTTTCTGATATGATATGCCGCCTGTCCTGTAGTAAAGTGTGTTTTCTGATATGATATGCCGCCTGTCCTGTAGTAAAGTGTGTTTTCTGATATGATATGCCGCCTGTCCTGTAGTAAAGTGTGTTTTCTGATATGATATGCCGCCTGTCCTGTAGTAAAGTGTGTTTTCTGATATGATATGCCGCCTGTCCTGTAGTAAAGTGTGTTTTCTGATATGATATGCCGCCTGTCCTGTAGTAAAGTGTGTTTTCTGATATGATATGCCGCCTGTCCTGTAGTAAAGTGTGTTTTCTGATATGATATGCCGCCTGTCCTGTAGTAAAGTGTGTTTTCTGATATGATATGCCGCCTGTCCTGTAGTAAAGTGTGTTTTCTGATATGATATGCCGCCTGTCCTGTAGTAAAGTGTGTTTTCTGATATGATATGCCGCCTGTCCTGTAGTAAAGTGTGTTTTCTGATATGATATGCCGCCTGTCCTGTAGTAAAGTGTGTTTTCTGATATGGTATGCCGCCTGTCCTGTAGTAAAGTGTATTTTCTGATATGATATGCCGCCTGTCCTGTAGTAAAGTGTATTTTCTGATATGATATGCCGCCTGTCCTGTAGTAAAGTGTGTTTTCTGATATGGTATGCCGCCTGTCCTGTAGTAAAGTGTGTTTTCTGATATGATATGCCGCCTGTCCTGTAGTAAAGTGTGTTTTCTGATATGATATGCCGCCTGTCCTGTAGTAAAGTGTGTTTTCTGATATGATATGCCGCCTGTCCTGTAGTAAAGTGTGTTTTCTGATATGATATGCCGCCTGTCCTGTAGTAAAGTGTGTTTTCTGATATGATATGCCGCCTGTCCTGTAGTAAAGTGTGTTTTCTGATATGATATGCCGCCTGTCCTGTAGTAAAGTGTGTTTTCTGATATGGTATGCCGCCTGTCCTGTAGTAAAGTGTATTTTCTGATATGATATGCCGCCTGTCCTGTAGTAAAGTGTATTTTCTGATATGATATGCCGCCTGTCCTGTAGTAAAGTGTATTTTCTGATATGATATGCCGCCTGTCCTGTAGTAAAGTGTATTTTCTGATATGATATGCCGCCTGTCCTGTAGTAAAGTGTATTTTCTGATATGATATGCCGCCTGTCCTGTAGTAAAGTGTATTTTCTGATATGATATGCCGCCTGTCCTGTAGTAAAGTGTGTTTTCTGATATGATATGCCGCCTGTCCTGTAGTAAAGTGTGTTTTCTGATATGATATGCCGCCTGTCCTGTAGTAAAGTGTGTTTTCTGATATGATATGCCGCCTGTCCTGTAGTAAAGTGTGTTTTCTGATATGATATGCCGCCTGTCCTGTAGTAAAGTGTGTTTTCTGATATGATATGCCGCCTGTCCTGTAGTAAAGTGTGTTTTCTGATATGATATGCCGCCTGTCCTGTAGTAAAGTGTGTTTTCTGATATGATATGCCGCCTGTCCTGTAGTAAAGTGTGTTTTCTGATATGATATGCCGCCTGTCCTGTAGTAAAGTGTGTTTTCTGATATGATATGCCGCCTGTCCTGTAGTAAAGTGTGTTTTCTGATATGGTATGCCGCCTGTCCTGTAGTAAAGTGTATTTTCTGATATGATATGCCGCCTGTCCTGTAGTAAAGTGTATTTTCTGATATGATATGCCGCCTGTCCTGTAGTAAAGTGTGTTTTCTGATATGATATGCCGCCTGTCCTGTAGTAAAGTGTGTTTTCTGATATGGTATGCCGCCTGTCCTGTAGTAAAGTGTGTTTTCTGATATGATATGCCGCCTGTCCTGTAGTAAAGTGTGTTTTCTGATATGATATGCCGCCTGTCCTGTAGTAAAGTGTGTTTTCTGATATGATATGCCGCCTGTCCTGTAGTAAAGTGTGTTTTCTGATATGATATGCCGCCTGTCCTGTAGTAAAGTGTGTTTTCTGATATGATATGCCGCCTGTCCTGTAGTAAAGTGTGTTTTCTGATATGATATGCCGCCTGTCCTGTAGTAAAGTGTGTTTTCTGATATGATATGCCGCCTGTCCTGTAGTAAAGTGTGTTTTCTGATATGGTATGCCGCCTGTCCTGTAGTAAAGTGTATTTTCTGATATGATATGCCGCCTGTCCTGTAGTAAAGTGTATTTTCTGATATGGTATGCCGCCTGTCCTGTAGTAAAGTGTATTTTCTGATATGATATGCCGCCTGTCCTGTAGTAAAGTGTTTTTTCTGATATGGTATGCCGCCTGTCCTGTAGTAAAGTGTTTTTTTCTGATATGATATGCCACCTGTCCTGTAGTAAAGTGTGGTTTCTGATATGATATGCTGCCTGTCCTGTAGTAAAGTGTTTTTTCTGATATGATATGCCGCCTGTCCTGTAGTAAAGTGTTTTTTTGATATGATATGCCACCTGTCCTGTAGTGGAGTGTTTTTAGCTCACCTGGTCCGAAGAACCAAGGTGAGCTAATGCCATACCGCAGCGTTGGTCGTCCGTCAACTTTACACTACTTGTCATGAACCACTGAGCGGATTTTAACAAAATTTGGTGTGGAGCATTCTTGGGTGTAGAAGAACCAATTTTGTATAAATGGTGGGTCTGGCCCCCCAGGGGCCTGTGGGGCGGGGCCAAATAGGGGAAACATAGCAAATTACTCTTTAAAGTCCTTCTGTAGGAATGAAAGGATTTGTTCCATATTTGGTCTCAAGCATTCTTGGGTGAAGGGGAACCAATTTTGTATAATGGTGGGTCTGGCCCCCACGGGGGCTGAGGGGCGGAGCCCAATAGGGGAAACATAGCAAATTATTCTTTAAAATCCTTCTTCTTCTGTAGGAATGAAAGGATTTGGTCCATATTTGGTCTGAAGCATTCTTGGGTGAAGGGGAACCAATTTTGTATAATGGTGGGTCTGGCCCCCCCGGGGGCTGAGGGGCGGAGCCCAATAGGGGAAACATAGCAAATTATTCTTTAAAGTCCTTCTGTAGGAATGAAAGGATTTGGTCCATATTTGGTCTGAAGCATCCTTGGGTGAAGGGGATCCAATTTTGTATAAATCAAGGGTCTGCCCCCCCCCCCCAGGGGCCTGAAAGGTGGGGCCCAATAGGGGAAACATAGCAAATTATTCTTTAAAATCCTTCTTCTGTAGGAATGAAAGGATTTGGTCCATATTTGGTGTGGAACATCCTTGGGTAAAGGGGAACCAATTTTGTATAAACATTGGGTGTGGCCCCCCTGGGACCTGAGGGGTGGGGCCCAAAAGGGGAAATAGACGTAAATCTTCAAAATCCTTCTTCTTCGGAAGGAATGAAAGGATTTGGTCCATATTTGGTCTGAAGCATTTTTGGGTGAAGGGGAACCAATTTTGTATAAACGGTGTGTCTGACCCCCCCCCNATTTTATCCTAATTTAGTCTGGAGCATCCTTGGCCCAAGGGGACTCAATTTTGTATTAGCAGTAGGTGTGGTCTCCGAGCGGGGCAAGAGGGCGGGGCCCAATAGGAGTAATAGAGGTAAAACTTTTAAAATCCTTCTCCGACCATCGGGATTAAGGGATTTTATCCTTATTTAGTGTGGAGCATCCTTTGGTGACAGTGACTCAATTTTGTATAACTGGTGGGTATGACCCCCGTAGGGGCATAGGGGTGTGGCTCTGTTTGAAGTTTGTTCTCTATATCTCAAGTACTGGATGGATCTTTCTGAAATTTCATATGTACTTACCATGGAGTGCTATATCTTTACTTCATACCAATTACTTTAATTATATTCAGTTGAGCGATACAGGCCCTCTGGGCCTCCTGTTTCTGATATGGTATGTCGACTGTCCTGTATTAAAGTGTTTTTTCTGATATGATATGCTGCCTGTCCTGTAGTAGAGTGTGTTTTCTGATATGATATGCTGCCTGTCCTGTAGTAAAGTGTGTTTTCTGATGATTTTACAATTGCATCAACTCATGTTACAGACGAGCAAGGACCCAGTGTATGGAGACCAAGGTGACCCCAATACTGACAGGGATCATTGCCTTTATGGATACAAACAGGAACCTGGATAGTCTGTACCGGGCCACAGATGGGGACTGGGTCCAGCAACTGTGGCTGGGTGTTATCAATTGTACCAAGGCTACAGGCCTACAGTACTCCCAGCTGGTGTCGCCTGGGCATGCCCAGCAGGAACTTCCTGAGGTGGTGGTCCGACACACCGGGACAGATGGACACCTGTTTACTGCCCAGATGCCTTTCTCTTGGCTCTACTTCAGGCTTATTGAGAACTTGTTGAACACTACAATGAATAATACACCTGAAGCAGGTAGGTTCAGTTTCATATTTTTATACCTTACTTTCAGAGAAAAAAGAATATTAACTTGGGTCTGTCTTTCTGTCTGTTCATCTGTTTGTCTGCCATGCTTGGTTTTCATTTGGGTTTCAATGCATACATATCTACACATAATTAATGAGGCTACCGACTTTTGATAGGTTTATTTGGTATCCATGCAATAACTGCCCAAAATAATTATGGTTTGATTTCAACCAAATTTGATCAGCACATTATATTATACTTATGTCAATTACGGACGCTGCCCAATTTAATTTCCAAACAAGGGATTGCAATTGTTTTTTGGGCGCCATGATTTTAGATTGGTTTTGTTGCATCAGGATGGGGGTAGGCTTGGTGTTTTTGACCACAGAACATACATGTGCATATTTGCAAGATAACAGACCACAGCCCTTGGCTCGACTGTTCAAAAGCCGACTCCAACTGCTGGAGGACGGTACGGACATAAATGTCGTCCTGACATTCGTCAGCTACCCCTTCGTTAGGCCTATCTATCACAGGTTGTTGTTGATCATCCTCGATCACTTCCGGAGTTGGCGCCTGCGTACTGCCAGAATGTGCAGCAGATGTCTGCGCAAGCTAGATAGTATCCGGGAATGTTTTCCTCATAGCCATGTGTAGTAATTTTGACTGTTCGATAGAGAGTTTCTGTCTTGGAATGTCTTCCAGTTCAAACTGTGAGAGCGCCTCCATAGAATTGAACCTGTGGTTCAAAACTGTTTGCACAGATGACTCTGTCAATTTCATGCATGCTCCCCACATATGTACTCGATCCTCGTCGCTTGGCGATTTAGGATGCTTATCCTGCAATGGAACACGCTTGTGTTCCGCTGATGATAAAGGTAATATGCTTGTGTTACCACAACGAGTTTTCAGTAGAGTCAATTTTCTTTGTCGCCGATATTGTCAAATGCCTTTGATAATTTGAGCCTTCGCTCGTGTTTTAAAGTGTCTACATTGATAAGCGTAATGATCCTGTGAATTATCGGCGTGATAGAAGTATATATATATGTCTAGTTGATTAAGACTTTGTTGGTTTTTAAAACATCTTTCCAAGTGAATAACTAGATGAATTAAACAGAAATGAAATAGCTGCTGCCGTCTTGCCAGAGAATTCTAAAGTGATGAGATGTTAACTTGGGGAACAGCATATTGGCCATGGGGGTTCTCCTCCATAGGGAGTAAATGTTTCATTGGTCAGCTGCTGGCTCTTGTGCCCTGCTGACATGACATCTATTAGTCAGTTTGACCAGTCATGTAACCAAATTGGGGTATGTCAATTGCTGACTTGAGAGTCTAAGGACCTAAATGATTTATAGCTGTAACCTGATAGCACAAAGAAAGCTGACCACTATTATATATTGGCCAGCTGGTAACCAATGTGTTGGATTATCTATATAAAGCCATAAATTTTATGCAAATAAAATTGCCTACCAATCGAAATATTAACAACATATTAATAACTTAATATTCTCATTTCTGTATCACTTTTGTAGCATTTCCATAGCTTTTGCATAGACTTTCCATAGCATTTGCGTCTGAGGTAGAACAGGAAATGTGTGGGTCTGTAGTTTATAGTAGATGAAAAAATACAGCTCAAAATCATAACATAAGGTACAAAATTTTAACTTCTTTATGTAATCAAATAATACAGCACAGTAGATTTATTTTCTTCAGAAGGCTTAGAAGTAGCACACACAATTCAAGATATTCTGAACAGTCGACCGATAGGCATCATGCTCCAGCCCATCATTAACAAAGACAGACCACATGTCCTGAAGGCGTACATCAATGACTTCGTCCACATGATCTACCAGGTGTCGTCTCGACAGGAACACCAGGTACTACCAGCACTTATTGACACAGAATTGCTTGTATATATACTGTTTTAGAATAACTGAAACCTGTTAATCATTAGCTAAAATTCTACTAGATGTCAGTTTCAGTTACATACCCAGTTGCTTCACTACATTTGCATCTGTCGTCCGTCCGTCAACTTTTTCTTTTGAACGACTTCTTCTGAAGAACTGAAGGACGTAGGGTCACGATATTTGACAAGTAGGAAGATGGGACAGATTGCTATAAAGTTTCCTCATTAAAATATTAAAATGACCTTGACCTACTTTCAAGGTCACTGGGTGCGAATATGTAAATAAAACGTTTGGACTAGAGTCATAATACTTGGGTTTGTTATGTAGACCAGCAGTGTGAATCTTTTTCTTAATTACAGTAATGAGGTCAAAGGTCAACTGTAAGTGCTAGTCTGGGGTCAAAGGTCAACATGGATGAAAAGATTTAACAATCTTCTCAAATTCCATAAAACCCATGGTCAGGATATTTGGCCAGTAAGTACATAGGATGGAATGCTATAAAGTTTCCTCATTAAAATGACCTTGACCTCATTTAAAGGTCACAGTGGTCAAATATGTTAAAAACTTCAAACAACAATATCTTAAGAACCATTTGGTATAGAGTTATGATACTTGTGTATGTTATGTAGACCAGCAGTGTGAATCTTTTTCTTCATAAAAGTAATGAGGTCAAAGGTCAACTTTAAGTGCTAGCCGTAGTGAAATGTCAACGTGGGTTAAATGCTTTGAAATCAAAATTTCAAACAACAATATCTTAAGAATTGTTTTAGAGATGTTAAAATTTCTTGTGTTCCAGTTACCAAATTTGGTCTGAAGCTAGCATAGGAGTTTCATAATCTAAGGATGAATTCTCACTTCATTTTGTTAGCTCACCTTGCCCGAAGGGCCAAGTGAGCTTATGCCATGGTGCAGCGTCCGTCGTCTGTCCGTTGTCCGGCGTCAATATTTTACTTTAAACTACTTCTTCTCAATAACCAAAAGGCCTAGGGTGATGATATTTGGCCAGTAACATGATGGGATAAAGGCCTACCAGGTTACTTTAAATGAATGACCTTGACCAACTTTCAAGGTCACAGGGGTCAAATGTCTTAAAATCTTCAAAAAACTTCTTCTCAATAACCAAAAGGCCCAGGGTATTGATATTGGACCTGTAGCATGCTCGGATGAAGGGCTACCAAGTTTCGTCAAATGAATGACCTTGACCCACTTTCAAGGTCACAGGGGTCAAATGTCATTAAATCTTCAAACGACTTTTCTCAATAACCAGAAGGCCCACGGTACTGATATTGGGCCTGTAGCATGCTGGGATGAAGGGCTACAAATTTATTCAAAAGAATGACCTTCATCTTTTTTCAAGGTCACAGGGGTCAAATATGTTTTAAACCTTTAAACAACTTCTGAATAACCAAGAGACCTAGAATAATGCCAGTAACATGATGGGATGAAAGACTACCAAGTTTGTTCAAATGAATGACCTTGACATATTTTCAAGGTCACATGGGTCAAATATGTTTAAAACCTTTAAACGACTTCTTAATAAGCAAAAGGCCCAGGGTGATGATATTTAGCCATTAACATGCTGGGATGAAGGACTACCAAATGAATGACCTTCGCCCATATTCTAGGTCACAGTGTTTAATATTTGTTTAAATCTTTAAATGATTTGTTCTGTATAACCAAAAGGTCCAGGGTAACGATATTTTGCCAGATGCATGCTGGGTTGGAAGACTTTAAACTCTGTTCAACCTAATGTCCTTGTTGGACATTCAATATCATGTTTAAACCTTTTAATAGGCTCTTAGGAATCAAACACTGATATTTTGCCTGTAACTATATTTTAGTCGGCTTTTAAGATTACAAGTGTGAGATTAATACCAGGTGAGCGATTCAGGCCCATTGGGCCACTTGTTTTTAAATTTGCTAGAATTTAACAGCAGTTTATAGCTTCACTGAAATTAAAATGACTTATAGTCCATTGAAATATACTTAACCTCAGTACTCTTTTAGAGTTACAGGTGTGAGATTCATATACCATGAGATCATGAGTGAAATGGACCTGTTGGGCCACTTGACTTTATTTACATCAGGATATGAAAAAATCTTATTTCCAAAATGTATAAATACCCATTTATACAGTTTGTAAATCATATTTTTTGACAATATAAAACAAGTATAATTGCCATCAATGCTTAATACACTATTAATGTATTGCCAGCTTGTGTGTGAAAGTGTCAGTAATGGAGCTGCTTCCATCCTCCAACACCAGGCTGGTGATGGGGTAGCCATGTTGGTAGCCATCCACTTGACATATCACCAGAATATCAGCAGGCTCCGCAACTTCTCCAGCCTCAACCGAGTGTGGCCAGAGTGTAGTGAGACCATTACAGATTTTCAGAAAAGCAGCCCTAACTTCTTCCTCTGCTCTGATGAAGAAATGGTAAATGATGTGTATCTTTTAGATACCAATTAGATTTTCAGGATAGCAGTTGATTTTTTCCTTAGCTTTTGTAAAGAAATTATGAATGCTGGTAGGTTTTTCTTAAGCATTAAAGATTTCTACAAAATTGTTGAAACTTTGATCACTTTTATTATTGTTATCATTTGAGTTTCATAGTACCTGACTGTGAGTAGATCCTGAATCAGATAAACTTGAATTGGCTACTTGAGACCTTGATATCTTTATTGAAATTTAGATGATTTTGACCTTGTACAAACCTGTTCTATTTCTCAGACCCTAGATGTAATGGGCTTACGTCTACTACTTGAGAAATTGGAGCCTGAGAAAGAGACACTGAACAAAGTAGCAAGTCGTGCGGAGTGGTTAAAGAGAGTACGACACTACCGGCCAGTCGTGGAGAGATTGCTCGATATGGTTCGTCCTGGATATGACCCAAAGATGGCTCAGTGTGGTCCCCGCTGTGTCAAGGGCATTGGGGATGCAAGGTCAGGTTATTCATATACATTTATGTAAATTTAATGGAGATAATTGTTCTTAATCGTATTTACAAATTAGTTTCTTTTGATTTTTATATCCCACTCAACAAAGTTGGGGGGGAGGGGTGTATACTCGAATCATCCAGTCCGTCTGTCTGTCATCTGCAAAATCTTGTCCAGGCAACTCCTCCTAAACTTGTGCACCGATTTCAAAGAAACTTTACAGATATCATAACTACCTTTTGATGTTGTTCAACCAGGTATTATTAGCTCACCTGATCCAAAGGACTAAGGTGAGCTTATGCCATCCCGTGGTGTCTGTCATCCATCCATCCATTCGTCTGTGACATTCTTACTTCAACAATTTTGCATCAAGGTTTTACTTTTAACAACTTCTTTATTATAACCAGGGTGATGATATTTGGCCAGTAGCATGTTAGGTTGAAGTGCCACCAAGTTTTTTTTCAAATGAATGACTTTCACCCATATTCAAGGTCACAGGGGGGGTCAATTGTCTTAAATAACCAAAAGGACCAGGATGATTATGTTTGGTCAGTAGCATGCATGGATGAAGTGCTATCAAGTTTGTTCAAATGAATGACCTTCATCCATATTCAAGGTCAAAAGGAGGTCAAGTATGTTTAAATCTTTAAACGACTTCTACTAGATAACCAATAGGTCCAGGGTGATGATATTTAGCCAGAAGCATGCTGGAATGAAGGGCTTCTGCCAAGTTCTTCAAATGAATGACCTTCATTTATTAGCTCACCTGGTCCGAAGGACCAGGATGAGCTTATGCCATACTGTGGCATCCGTCGTCCGTCCGTCGTCCGTCCGTCAACAATTTCTTTAAACGACTTCTTCTTAACCACTGATTGGAATTTAACTAAAGCATTCCTAGGTAGTGGGAATTCAAAATTGTACAAATGGTGGGGCTGAGGGGCGGGGCAAAAAGGGGGCAATTTGGCTATATTGCTTTAAGCGACTTTTTCTCTGGAACTAAGAGATGGATATCAACCATATTTGACTGGAAGCATCCCTAGGTGTTGGAGATTCAAAATTGTACAAATGGTTGGGCTGACCCCCCAGGGGGCTGAGGGGCGCGGCCAAAAGGGGACAATTTGGCTATATTGCTACAAACGACCTCTTCTGTAGAACTTTGCACTGGATATCAATCATATTTAATCAAAAGCATTCATGGGAGGCAGGGATTCAAAATTGTACAAATGGTATGGCTGACCCCCAGGTGGCTGAGGGGTGGGGCAAAAAGGGGGCAATTTGGCTATATTGCTTTAAGCGACTTTTTCTCTGGAACTAAGAGATGGATATCAACCATATTTGACTGGAAGCATCCCTAGGTGGTGGAGATTCAAAATTGTACAAATGGTTGGGCTGACCCCCCAGGGGGCTGAGGGGCGCGGCCAAAAGGGGACAATTTGGCTATATTGCTACAAACGACCTCTTCTGTAGAACTTTGCACTGGATATCAATCATATTTAATCAAAAGCATTCATGGGAGGCAGGGATTCAAAATTGTACAAATGGTGGGGCTGATCCCCCGGGCTAAGGGGTTGGGCCAAAAAAAGTTTATTACTTGGAAATTGTTGAGATCCCCACCATATAACCATATACAATTGCTGAGTATAAAGAGAAGAATGCACATTTGCTTCCAGGATGGCCCTAGGGTCTGGCCCCAATCTTGGAGACATAGTCCCTAGGCCATAACTTTAAAACGGTTGAGATCTCCACCCCAAAACTATATATACAAATGCTGGGCATAAAGAGACAAATGCAGTCATGATATTAGAATTGATCCTGGGGTCTGGCCACAACCCTAGGGACCTAGTTTCTGAGTCACAGCTTGGAAACAGTTGAGATCCCCACCCCATAACCATACATAAAATTGAAAATTGAAACATCTAATACAAATATACCACAAGGATTGGCCTTTGGGTCTGGCATATTCCCTTGGATCTCATTTGGAGAATGTTTTGCCATGATTGCTTAGATATCCAGGTGAACGATACAGGCCCTCTGGGCCTCTTGTACATGTATTCATGGTCATAGGGGTCAATCGTCTTAAAAAAACTTTTACCAACTTCTTCTGAATAACCAAAGGACAAGGATGTACAAATGAATGACCTTTGCCAATATTCAAGGTCACAGGGGTCAAATATTTTGAAATTTTTGACGACTTCTTCTAGATATCCAAAAGGTCAAGGGTTTGGCTAGCACAGTTGTGGGAACGCACAACGTTACACGATGCGCGGTTTGCGCGCAGGGTGCTCACGGTGTGCGAACGATTAAACATAATCCTAATTGATTTGATGAGCAATTAATATATATAGTGTTCTTCATTCCGTAGTAGGGCTCCAAATTTTTTTTCATTCAACCATTTCTACCAAATCGCACATTTGTGTGGAGAGAAGCACACAACGGGGCGAACGATTGTTAAATCGCAAAGATCGCACAGTTGTGTGCACCATGTGTGCACCATGTGTGGATGATGTACGGACGGTGTGTGCACCATGTGTGGATGATGTACGGACGGTGTGTGCACCATGTGTGGATGATGTACGGACGGTGTGTGCACCATGTGTGGATGATGTACGGACGGTGTGTGCACCATGTGTGGATGATGTACGGACGGTGTGTGCACCATGTGTGGATGATGTACGGACGGTGTGTGCACCATGTGTGGATGATGTACGGACGGTGTGTGCACCATGTGTGGATGATGTACGGACGGTGTGTGCACCATGTGTGGATGATGTACGGACGGTGTGTGCACCATGTGTGGATGATGTACGGACGGTGTGTGCACCATGTGTGGATGATGTACGGACGGTGTGTGCACCATGTGTGGATGATGTACGGACGGTGTGTGCACCATGTGTGGATGATGTACGGACGGTGTGTGCACCATGTGTGGATGATGTACGGACGGTGTGTGCACCATGTGTGGATGATGTACGGACGGTGTGTGCACCATGTGTGGATGATGTACGGACGGTGTGTGCACCATGTGTGGATGATGTACGGACGGTGTGTGCACCATGTGTGGATGATGTACGGACGGTGTGTGCACGATGTGTGCATGATGTACGGACGGTGTGTGCACCATGTGTGGATGATGTACGGACGGTGTGTGCACCATGTGTGGATGATGTACGGACGGTGTGTGCACGATGTATGCGCGATGTGCGGACGCTATTTTTGGTGTGTTGTAAGTTCCCACAACTTAACATGCAGGCTTAAAGAGCTACCAAGTGTGTTCAAATTAATGGCCTTCACTCATATTCAAGATCACAGGGGTCAAATATCTCAAAAATTTAAACGACCTCTCCTAAATATAAAATGACTAGGATAATGATATCAAGCCAGTATGTTCAAACTAATTACCTTGAATTATATTCAAGGTCACAGGGGTCAATATATTAAAAAATCTTTACACGACTACTGAATACCGTAAATTTGCGCGTATAGTGCACACTTTTAGGTAAATATTGTCATGTCAAAAAGGGGGTGCGCACTATACGCAGGAACAAGTCATTCTTGGGTTATCATTCTCGAGGAAATCAAAGCTACTATTGGTCATAAATGTAAAAACATATAACAGTTATAGTACATGTACTTGCGATTTACACGTACAGTAGACTTATAAATCCGCAGGGCTTGCATTAACGATCGCCAAGTCACCAAATGGTGACACTTTTTCAGATTTGGCGACCAAAAATTAAGTTTGGCGATATTCTTTGGTGACACAATTTTTACCTACTCTAAATTGATTAAAATCGGTAATCTGTGGTCATGACTGCTGATTTGGCGACAAACACTAGCGGGGCACAGGTAACATTTTTACAGGTAAGTTGACCGAAGGGCATAACCACCGACGCCTTCTGAGCCCAGACAATAAGCTAGGTAGGATTGCCATGCTTCAGTGAAATTTATTTACACTTCTCAACACCACAGTTAATACAAATTACAATGCCGTAATTAGCTAACACTATATCGGTGATTACAGATTAGCAATAGCTCTACTGCAATTTAATTGAAATTATTTGCAGTCGCCATCAAGGGACTGTGTTGTTTTCACTCCTCAACATGTGGCATGAAGCCCTACTGCACTGTTAGAACTGCAGACTAATTTGACCGTAAAGGGATTATAAAAAATATGTTGATACTAGAAGCGTGGACATTCAATACATCCCCTTCAAATCTACTTGAAGGGAAAAAATAAAAGCAGAATACACTATTTTTATGTGCTTCATTTTAAAATATTGAAATAATTCACCAGGTTATCGATCCCGTGTTTACGTAGTGTTAGACACGAGATCAACATGAAAGTGAGAAAGTGACTATAGGTTTGCACTCCTTAGGACGTCCTTCCTTCTGTCCCAGAAGTTTGTCCGGGACACATCTTCTGTACTATTCTACCAGGAGTAACCAGATTTGGTGTACAAGGACAAGCTTGGATGACGAAGTGCAGAGTGCAAGAAGTAGGTCACTATGTCCTCACTGTGACCTACACTTTGACCTTTGACCTTAACTTTTGAAGAAGTTTGTCCGGGGCATATCTTCCATACTATTTCACCAGGAGTAACCAGATTTGGGGTACAAGGACATCCTTGGATGATGGAAGTGCAGAGTGCAAGAAGTAGGTCACTATATGTCCTCACTGTGACCTATACTTGACCTTTGACCTCACCTTTGAAAAGAAAAGTTTGTCCGGGACATATCTTCTAGAAATCATTACCGGTGGGGGACTATGGATTACCTTGAAATACTTTGCCTTGTTGAATATGGCTTGATCACTCCATAGGTCAAGCATGTGGGATTGGGATATCATGGGCCGTGCACATTTCTTTTTCAAATTATTGACAGCCTTTTTTTTTGCAGGTTAAAGTGGACAGCTGTTCTGGTTGTTAAGCTGTTCATAGAACATGTCTGCTCAATGCTTGGCAGTAACCAATTTACCATCAACAGAATCATGCCTTTATGGGCTGTAAGTACTATTAGGAGTGTCATGTAATTATTCCAAAAGTTGATATTATAGAAATTTTCCAGTTTTTTGCTCTGACATATTTTGGTTGGTAAGTTCATGATAGCTACCTAAGGGAAATGCTATTGCAGAAAAAGTGTTTTATCTTTTAACTTGTAGATGCCATCAGCCATGTTTCAAACTGTGTCAGGACAAAAAAAGATTCTAGATATGTTTCAGATTGTTTGTTTCCTTTCTTAGTAGATCACTGTTTGAATATGCTCAGGTAATGTATTGTCAATGGTTGAATAATGAGAATGATATACAACATTTGATACAGCGCCCTATCTAGCTAGAATAAGCCACTCTAAAGCACTTTACAGATATACAATTTATACCATCAAAACAATTAGCATATACATTAATCAATACAACTTTTGAGGCATTCGCCGCAGGAGCTGCCTTATCAGGCGCTAACTGCTCGTCCTATGCCACCTGGCTAATATCGCCCTATGTGTGTATGTCTGCGGGTGTGCTGGAGGACCGTGCTTCCATTGGTATCATTTATAGTGCCATCTCACTTGAATGCTACAGCTCATATACCGCAATATCCACCCCAAACCATTTCATACTCCACCTGGGTTGTTGGAGTTGAACAAATTAAGACTGGAATGTAGACAAAAATATTTAGACATTGCTTTTTCTTTCAAATGTGTCTGCAGTCTTGTTGACAGTTTTGATTGCCTCATTTCAATTTTAACCTCACCTGGTTCAAACATGTTCGAGCCATATACACAATTGCAGGGCATGATTATAGACATAAAACAATCATGCTATCAGAATTAGCACTGGGGACTGGCCTCTCCTCTTAGAATTTAGTTCTGAAACGGAAATGGTTGACCACCTTATGACCATACATTTACATTTCCACTGCAAGTTTCTCTATGAGCATTACCATAAGAAATTGTGTTCATGGGGTTATGAATCCAATTCAATCAGCGTCATTTAAAAACTTCTCTTCCTTCCTCGAAAAACATGAGACAACTGCTAGAAACAAACATTTTGATGACGTTAGCTAAAGGCTGTTCCAGGAATCTTTTTTGCACTGACGACATAAACACTTCAATGTCGGACAGCAAAATATTGAACAGCATTCTTTTCAATGTTCATTCCGTCATGAAATTGAAAAAATATGCTGTTCAGTCCTTATATTAATACAGTACTTATGTTCCTCTTGGAACCAGGTGATTGGTCATAATTAAGGAAACCATTCAGATCATTGCCCAATAACCATATACAGTAAAACCCCACTTCTTCAAACAGTTTGTTTGTTCCCGACCGAGTTTGTACATATTCTTTGTAAAGTAACCCCGGATTAGTCAAACCGTTTTTCCTTGAATACCCCTTACTGTTGTCCCAGACTCTTCATGGTCATAGAATTATCCTATCTATTCGTCGAACAGGTTAATCAAGATGACAGCATACAAATGCACCTGTTCGACGAATAGATAGGATAATTCTTTGACCATGAAGAGTCGGGGACAACTTTTTTGTTCGAGGAATACGGGGTATTCAAGGAAAAACGTTTCTTCTATCATCTACTATATGCGATATTTGCAGTGCTTGCACTGTCTGTTTCCCACCTGAAAAAAAAAATGACGAACTTTTGATCTGGACCCTACGAGTTCGAGTTAGTGGGGTTTTACTGTATGTGCTTGACATAGACAGACATTTACTGTCATGCTACCGAAGTCTTATTTGAAACATTACTTTTAATGCCCCTGTTAATGTCCACATGAGCAATATAAGACCTCTGAACCTTTTGTTTATCAAACATAAGGACAAAAACATTATTTTTAATTAATGGCATGGGAGTTGATGAACATGAGGGACAATTGCAACAGTGTTTCTAACATATGGGAAGATGCAATTCCATATGTCTATTAAGGTAATCTACTTATTTGTATGATTTTAAAATTTCTTTACAACTTCGGGAAAAAAGATGCTCTCTTTAGATAATCTGACATTATTAGCTAACCAGCTCGAAGGACAAGTATATAAGCATATAGTGTACATGAAACAATCTAGCTACATTTTATTTCATTAAACAACTTCTTCTAAATAACCAATAGTCCTGGAGTTAAGATTATTTAGCTATAGTAACATGCTTGGTTGAAGGGCTATCAAGTTTATTCAAATAAATGACCGTAATTATATGTGTGGAAGGTGTTATACATCAATCCCATAGATTCCAACTATGTGCAGAATGGAAAGCCACTTACCTAGAATAGGTAGACCATATCAAAGAGATAGGTGATTTATAACTTAAATGTTGTGAATGATCCGTTGATATTTTTCCTTTATTATAGATGATGAATAACGGTGCAGGTGCAGATATGAAAACTCTTGATTCACTTGAAAAGGTTGAAAAGTTTTTGAAGATGTGTAACAAAACAGCTGTGTCACACTACTTTCACATAAAGTAAGTATCAGAATGGAAAAATAGGACCAAAAGTGTTACAGCCATGTCAGCAATGCATTGAGTCTGTAATGTCAACATTGCATTGAGCCTGTAATGTCAACAATGCATTGAGTCTGTAATGTCAACATTGCATTGAGCCTGTAATGTCAACAATGCATTGAGTCTGTAATGTCAACATTGCATTGAGCCTGTAATGTCAACAATGCATTGAGTCTGTAATGTCAACATTGCATTGAGCCTGTAATGTCAACAATGCATTGAGTCTGTAATGTCAACATTGCATTGAGCCTGTAATGTCAACAATGCATTGAGTCTGTAATGTCAACATTGCATTGAGCCTGTAATGTCAACAATGCATTGAGTCTGTAATGTCAACATTGCATTGAGCCTGTAATGTCAACAATGCATTGAGTCTGTAATGTCAACATTGCATTGAGCCTGTAATGTCAACAATGCATTGAGTCTGTAATGTCAACAATGCATTGAGCCTGTAATGTCAACAATGCATTGAGCCTGTAATGTCAACATTGCATTGAGTCTGTAATGTCAACAATGCATTGAATCTGTAATGTCAACATTGCATTGAGTCTGTAATGTCAACAATGCATTGAGCCTGTAATGTCAACAAGAAAAATAGAACCATTCACCCCCTTGACCTGAGATGGAGAATCTTAACCCTCGGGCAAAGATTGTTGGACGACTCTGCAAGCCTTGTGTTTAGAAAATTAAGAATCTTTGTCCTCGGGTTGAGATTCTCCTATCTCAGCCCCAAGAAAGATTTTATTGTTCTCATACATATGTGTGTTCAAAGTTATCTCATATACTATTATGTCGAAATTTCACGGTCTCATAGGAGCAGCATCTTTAATGGCCTTTCACAATCACAGCAGTAAGTTAGGACTTTACGATGAAAACAATGGCACACTGTTTTGGCATGCATATGGTTGCTGCCAGGAAAATCATTACTTACACAAAATAATTTAGACTTGTACATTTGTTGAAAAGACATGATGGAGCAATATTCTTTCAAATGTGTATTTTGAAGATCAAAGAACCCAACTCTAAGGGTTGTGAATTTATGAATAAAACCTTACGCAAAGAGAAAGGTATTATTCCAAGCCCTAACCCATCTGAAGACAATTTCTTTGTCTTTCTCACAAACATATGGAAGAATTCATAATATCTTTCAAAATCTTTTTTAGCAAAAACGCCACTTGTAGACACTGTGAGAAACAGCTTGAAGGACCACCAATTGTCCTGCCCTGTGAAGACAAAATCTGCTCAAAGTGTTATAATGACATCATAATTACCAAGGAACTGAAATGTCCTGTTTGTCAGAAGGAAATACCAGATGACTTTAGTCCCGAAATGGAACACCATAAAACGTAAGTTTTCCTTAACAATGAAACAATTATTTTATAAGATTATCTATTGATGTCTTTGTATAAATGGCACTGATCTGAACCTGATGTTATAAAATGGCTTTGTAAAATGTGATCCAATGTAAAATGACGTAAGCCATATACTTATAATACACTCATCAAGTGACATTTGTGTCTATAAACAGACCAAAAACTTATAACTACATACCAAACAGTTAATTGGATCACTAACTGAGGATCAGTTAATGACTACCTGTTTTCAGGTTAAGGACAAGTAAACCATGGTGCAGCGTCTGTCTTCCATCTTGACCTTGACCCCTTTTCAAAGTCATAGGATTAAAATGTGCTAAAATCTTTAAAAAATCTTCTGAGTAACAAAGAAGCACAGGGTTATGATATATGTTGCCAGTAACATGCTAGGATGAAGGGCTAAAGTGTATCGAACAAATTTGTAAAAATGAATGACATTGATCACTATCAAATCACAGAGGTCAAATGTATTAAAAGCTTTGTTTGTTTGTGTGTTTATGTCCTATAAAAAGCTACGGTCATTTAAGGACATGCCAGGTTTTGGTGGTGGAGAAAAACCAGTTAGGAGCCTTAACCACTCGACCACCATTGCCCTTCATTATCTATACATTAAAGAATGGTTATTAACAAATTCCAAGGGACCTACTTAATCATTTTGTTATCAAGGAAGTTCATATTAAGTGTAAAGCAAATTTTTATTGTTATTTAAAAAAAAAAATGCTTTATGAAAATATGTATAAAACAATTTTAATTTATCTTAATATGCACACAATGCTCACAGCATATGAAAAAGGCTGTTATTGCTTGTTGTAACTTGTCACAACAGAGAGGCTGGTACTAACCACGGTCTCCAATAGAGCTTCGAGAAAACAATTAGAGCGACTCCTTTATTATTAGCACGCACCCTAGCAACACTGATTACCAAATTTACTTCCTCTCCCTCACCCTCCTCCTCACTGTTAGAAACATTGAATAATACACAACCTCAATATCGGACATCACCATCGTATTACTAACATCACAGTAAATATTGACAAAATTCAGCCATGGTGACCCCAAACTCAGCAGCCTATCAACACTAAGATTGTCATCCAAAACATAATTCACGGTACAAAGCACATAAAGTTATATTGGATAAACAACCCGAAACCGTTATATTGTCTACGAAAAAAACAACGCACTGTGTTCAGTAGTCATACAAAGCATAAGTAGTTGACAGCTGCCTGTCGGGGGCATCTCCGTGAACATGGTTGAGATCACCAGTCTGGTGTGTCTTCCGATTTCGGAAATTGGGTTTGTACTACAGTGTTAAACGAGCACTGAATTTCACCTGGGGGAACCAATGATTTGCTTCGTAATAGACAATAATTCGCAAATTCACAGTATGATCATATATTTACATGGAAGGAAAAGGGAGATGAGCTGGGGAGTCAGAATCAGTTTGAATACCCATAAAGTGGCAATAAACGTGTTCGTACTAAACATGTTTTAATGTATGCAACTTTTTCAGAATAAACAAGAAGCTTTAGGGTTCAAATATTTTGCTGTTTAGTTTGATTTGATGACTTACGTTTACCCACTTTCAAGGTAACAGGGACCCTAATGTGTTTAAAGTTTTAACTACTTCTTCTGAACAACCAAAAGATATATAGGGTCACAATATTCAGTCTATAGCATTCTGTGATAAAATACTATCCACTTTCTTCAAATTAATGACCTTGACCTTCTTTCAATGTTACTCCGGGGGTCAAATTTGTTGAAACTATTAAACGCAAGCAGAAGGCCTAGAAATTATACTAAAAATATACTAAAACTATACGTTTTTCTAAAGTTAAAATATCTGTAGATTTCATTCAATGTAAAATGTATCAACATTTACTCATTTCAATCACTCAGAGGCACTGTATTAAACCAGAACAAATTTTAGGTAGGGATTACAATCGTAGGAAACACTTGTAAGCTTTCGTGCTTGCCTTCGGGCAGGGACTTCCGACCGCCGGTCACTGATCCGTCAGTGATCCCGGCTTTCCAGGTGGTGCTGTCATCAGGGTCAGTCTTGGTGCCGGGCCTGTTCTTTCCGGTTCAGTTCCTGGGGTGACTACAGATTTTCTTTCGGGATTGTCCGTGTCTACCAGGATTATTGATAAGCAGCTCACTAATCCCGGCACCAATACTGCTCTGGCTCGCCCTCCAGGGCCGTTACTCAGATCCTGACCCGGTCCTATTAGGTCCGGGCCGGAGTTTCCTTTTACTGGGAACCTGGGGGGTTTCCCCCCAGGTGTTGTGTTTGCTGGACAGGGGGCCGGTTTCAGGCTCCTGTTTTCTATAGGCTTAGTATATATTGGTGCCCGTAGTATAGTGACTATAGTGACGTGATATAGTGACGTGCAACTCACTAATCTCGACACCAATGCTGGTCTGGCCTTCCCTCCCGGTCAGTTACCCAGACCCGGTCCTATTAGGTCTGGCCCGGAGTTTCATTCGGCTGGTGTTGGGTTTGCTAGATAGGGGGCCAGTTTCCGGACACCGTTTTCCCCTGGCTTAGGGTATACGGGTGCAACCATCCCTGGGCCACTCTAACCAGCCTGCGGATGGTTTTGGGTTGCGGCAGCATCCCGACAGTTATGGGTTTAGCCGGGTTTCCAACTTGAGGGAGTGGCGGTCCACCTTCGCCCTTTGGGCAAGGTGGCCAGCCCCAGTCTCAGGCATGCCAGGTTGGTCAATTCTGGGGTCACTCCCATCCCGCGGGAACTTTCCCTTATCCCCCGGGATATGGGTTTAATTTCAACTCCATGGCATTTCCTTCGTGGAATCCTTGCGGTTTGGTCTCTCCCAAGGGTAGGGGTTTGGCTACTAAGCCTAAACCTACAGCCATGGTCGTTAGATGCACTGCACCTAAACGCCATTATGTGGAGCGTTCTCTTGAGTTGGCCCCTCTGGCTGGCCCTTTTCTTCCAGCTGAGACTTCTGTTCTTGATAGTGTGGAGGCTATGGACATTGAGGGCACGGGTGTGGCAAAGGACAATGATGTTGTTCACCTGGTTGCTCGTATATAGACGCGGATCTTTCAGAGTCGTCTGATGACGGTCCTCAGGAGGGCTCGCCCTCTGAGGAGGACGTCAAGGAGGATGGTGACCCTGAGGCTGCTGAAGTTGAGGCCCGCTATGTGTTGTCCGGTATGCAGGGCCTGAGGGCCGACGTTTCCTAGATTCTTGGGGAGGAGGTTTGCCCACCACCTTCAACGTCATCTGTCCCCGAGTCCACCGCCTTTTTGGGTTCCTTAGTGGCTCCTCGAGTGTCCGCTCAGTCGGACCGCTCTCTGCCAGAAGGCACTATCGTGTCTTCAGCTCTGGCCACCGCCCAGTCTTTGGGTTTTAGAGAAGAACTCTTCTTCAAGGTCCTTGGTATGCTGGGTTTCAGCTTAGTGTTGGCGACTTGTCAGAAGTGCACGCCACTGCATGACTATGCCACACATGATGGGCTGCTTGCCCCTCAACCAGCTAAGCTGGAATCGAGGGAACTGATAGCATGGCCCGGCAAATCAGTTGACCAGGTGGTGTTCGGCCCCAAGGAACACCACAAGATGGAGAGACTGCTGCGTCTCTTCATCCAAATTCTTCCTTATATAGACTACCTGATGGTGTGTCTATATAGGGTATCCAATTTGCCTGAGGGTCGGATTACCAGGACAGAGCAGGCTGACATCCAGGACAAAGTGACCTCTGCCCTGAACGGGGCATTGAGAGCGCTGGCAGCTTTACAGGTGTCATCGCTCGTCAATGTCTTGTTGGCTAGGTGGTTTTCAGTTTTGAAAAACTGACCAGTTAATGAACCATACCGCTCTAGTCTGTTGACTGCTCCCTTCTTAGGGTCCACTCTTTTTGGAGGGGCCCTTCCTTCTGTTCAGAAAGGATTTGAAGGAGGACTCGGTTGCCTCTGCACTTCTGGTGAAGAGGATTCAAGCTGAGAAGGCCAGTACCTCGCAGGGGACAGCACCTCCTAAGAATAAGGCTAAACCTTCGGCTTTGCAGTCTTCTGCACAGCCCAAGTATGAGCCCTCCTTCAAGGGCAACAAAGGGAAGGGTAAGAAAGGTAAGAACCCTCCATATAGTAAGAAGAAGGGTTCCTGACTCTCTTCTTCCCTCCTTGGTCGTGTCAGATGACGGGTTTGTCCTGGGAGAATGCAGTCCTCCCGGCTCATTCTAGGTCCTTCTCCCGCAGGATTAGGCTTCGGGTCAGCAGACGGTTCTCTTGCCTGGCAAGGTCTCGATCTGCCTCAACCAGATCTTCCTGTTTGGGGGCCATCTTTCCGCTTTCCTCCCAGAGTCTAAGGAAATTTCAGAAGATGCATGGGCCTTGTCTGTGGTCAAGAAGGGGTTAGGCATTCCACTAGTGCAGGATCCGCCCTTAGCGTCAGAGCCAATCTTTTTTCCTCCACCTGGGGATCTGGAAAAGGCTCTGGCGCTCCAGGAGGAAGTAAGGACCATGCTTACCAAGGGCACGGTCAAGGAGGTTCCTATGTCGGAATGTACTCCCAGTTTCTACTCCAGATTGTTTCTGGTTCGGAAGAAGTCAGGGGCGTGGTGTCCCATCATATATCAATGAGCCTTCAACATGCAGGTAGATTCTCCTCACTTCAAGATGGAGACTCTTCGGGGCATTATCGTGAGAGATGGAATGTGGGCAACTTCAGTAGATCTGAAGGACGCCTACTTCCACATCCCCATCAAGAAGTTGGCACGGAAGTATGCCTCCGTTTTACGTGCAACGGAAAGGTCTTCCAGGTCCCGGCCATGCTGTTCGGGCTCATAATAGGCCCTTCTCAAAGGTCCTCCTTTCAGGGGGTCATGTCTGCTGCTTTCTGGCGCTGACAGACTGCCTTCAGGGATTTTTTTTATCTCCGATCCTTAGCTTCTCATTCCGATGGATTGTATTCCCTTGGACCGGTGGTGGTTGGACAGTCTGTGGCTGTGCCTCCACAGTAATTCAGTGATTTTTAACTAGTAGGCTATCAGGCACCTCGGGGGTACGCCTGCTTGTTGCACGGGGAGGTATTCCATTTCTTAATTACTTTCGGGGCGTTTTTTGGGGGGTTCCTTGAACCTTTCTCTACCTTGAGCATATCTCGAGTTTGTTCTGTCAGCCTGGTCTGCCTGGATTCTAAGCCTCCACTACAGTAAGACAAATTTGCATACTTAATTTATGGTAATTATTTTTGAAATGAAATTGAGGTTTTTGAAGTAAAACCAATTTTCATGATCTAATACTTCCCATAACTTTATGGAGTCCCACCCTGTATTCCTCCCCTTGCCTCCTCATCACGGCTGCCTTTAGGCTCCATAAAAGGGGTTTGAGGATGGGAGATCACTCTGTGGCTCTGTCGTCGAGATATGGGTAACGTAACGGTAGGGAGATCAGGATATTTGAATCTTTTGTTTTTGGGCTACAAAGATGGGTCTAGGCATTGTTTATGCATACTAAAGTTATGGTAAGTATTACATCATGAAAATTGGTTTTACTTTAAGTTATTGCCCCTGATAAACATGTGCTATTCAGAGTCAGCACCATAAATATTCTCATTTCACTTACTTAACACACAAATTAAGCACACACTCAGCAATTTCATATTATACACACACATTTATTACACATATACCACTCACATAGTTTTGAAAAGAAATCTTGGTACCTCTGTTTCTGTAATTTTTTGGGTATCTTAATTAAATAATTATTTTGAGTAAATTTTAATTTTAATAATTTGACACACTTGATATTCACACAAAACTCCAATTCTACACAAAGCATGAGTCATAAAAGGTTATCAGATACCCATCTTAACTGATCAGCTATCAATTATACAGACTTACAGATAGGGGAGATGTTATGCCATAAACAACTAATTGTCTGAGTAAACACACAACAGAAATATACATTAAATCAATGAACAAGATGTTGGTCAATGTATACATTATAACAGGAAAATAGAAATATATAACTAACTGACAAAATGGAATTTAAGCCAAAATTCCTATAGGTGACATATACACATAAAGAAACTCACATGTGCAACTTTCATAATAGCTTGTTCTGTGGTGCTGAGGGGCTGCTTGCTATTCATAGTCTTGTTGTGCTTAGTATAACAGTTATGAAGATCGAGACAATGCAATCTATGATAAAAACATAAAAAATAAAAAAATCGTAAGACTCAACAAAAAAATCTTTCAAATTAATACCAGGTGAGCAATACTGGCCCATTGGGCCTCTTCGTACTTCTTATCTTATTTCGGATAAGTTGTCTGGCACTGTAATGTAATTTAGTTAACTGAAGTAATAGAAAGAACACCAGGCTGTAGAGTTGGTTGCTCTTTTAGCCTGTTTTACATATTCAAAATTACAGTGAGGAGAACAAGAAGTACTTTGAGTACAAGAAGAGGATCAACAGTTTCTTCATGGAGGTCGTATCCCAACTGTGTTTTGCTGACGACACACCTCCATCTGATGACATAGTGCAGAAACTTCTCAGTTACATCACAAGGTCAACTGACAAGGGCAAGGTCGTTACCAAGGAGATGACAATATTTGATGACAGTATTGACCCTACACCTGTCCTCAGATCATTTCTGCTGCAGCTTCTCCTGAGGACAAGGTATACTTACATCCAATTAATCACAGAGCATCCAACAAGATAAGAAAATCATCTTTGAATTCTATAAACTAATCAAATGAAAACCTTTACATGGATTTTTGTAAGTAACATAAATACTATGATTGAAGTGATCTGATTCTACCGAGTCTGAGTCTATAACTGGTGCCTCTGTTACTTTTACTGTTTATTTAAATCATAGGACTATACTTGTCTCAGGTAAATTTGTCTCAGTACCTGATACAATTGCTGTCTCTATAACTACTACTGTTAACTTTCAGTGGAAACCAAGTGAATGACTATCTATCTCAATACCTGGTACAGGCAAAACAGTTTGTGAAGGAGAAGGAACATGAAGAGCAGTCTCAGCTCACAGAACTCTATCTCCTGATCCTCCAATGTGTTGAGGTACTTATACCCCCTGCAAACAAGGTTTGGAGGGATATATAGGAATCCTGTTCATCCGTCCATGGGTTTGTCCCCCCTATCTATGTGTCTGGTAGCATTTCCTGGCTATAGCTCAAAAAGCATTCGAAATAACTGTGTGAAGCTTTGTATGCATCATTCACTGTAGTCTTGAGTGCTTTTGGTATGACAGAGTTTTCAGCGTTGATATTTTTCCTGTTACCATGGAAACAAATATCTGGAAATTCACAATTCATTGTTTCTGGTGCATATCTCTAAAACCATACAAGGTCACTTCACAAAACGTTTTCTTTACACAAATTTAGTTGTGTAGTAATATTTTATACATTTAGGATGTTTTCATTTTTCATATCATTTTCTCTGTTTTACAATAGAAACAAATGGCCAAAAAAAGCAAATATATCAAAATCCCTTCAAGAGAACTTTTTTAACTATTGCTTAATATTCATTCAAACCTAGTAGTCTTGTTGTGCCTTTAATTAGCTATCAGTAAGATTTTGTTTCAGATAAAATCCTGTTACCACAGAAACAGATACTTAAAAAAAAAAAAAAAATGCCTTTTCTTTGGCATATGTCAAGACCCATTCAGGATAACTTAATAGAACTTTCAATTCGTCAAGGTGCTAGACCTGAAACAATGATGTTTCCCTTTAAGTATCCCCCGCTTTTCTTAATTTGGGCCTATCGGTCTGTCACGTTACAGTTTCCATGCAATAGCTATACGATAATAATGGTCTGATTTCAACAAATTTGGTGTGCACATACATATTAACATGTTTAAGACTAAGTTTGCTCGTCAATGTAATCCTTGCGTATTTACACATAATTAATTACAATTGCGATAAGTGTGCTAATAATGATCCTATTTCAACAAAATGTGGTGTGCACATCTTTACTGTTCAAGTCTCAAGATAAAAATATCAACTATAAAGTGTCACAAATGATCTAACCTAAGGAGAGTTTCACATTATTTATGATAGATTGTCATTGCTTAGTTTTTTTAATGTCACCCAAGCGACACCAAACCCAAACCATGATTTAATGGGATTAACAAGTGTAATCTGATTTACAGGTTGATATGTGTTTATTACACGGCTACAAGTGTGAAAAATATAATAAAAGATATGAATTCAAACACAAAGTTAAATCCATGTAATGTATAGGTTTTGACTGAATCACAGAATTAATTAAAATGGAGAAAATTTAGCACTTCCACACATGGATCCCAGCATGTCGTAGGCAGCTGTGGTGTAATTAGTAAAGCGAACTATTCAAGCCCCTTAACATTGCATATCGTATAAAATGTTTATTTGAGCAAAGTTTTTACAATTTCAGAATGTTAATTGATGTACTAAGCTGGTTATCTTTGTTCAAACCTTTTTCATTTAAAAATATCAAGTACAGTTTAGATCCATTTCTCTTCTCGTGTTTCACGGCATCTGATTGGTTAATAAAAAATATGCAATGACACTCCAACCAATGAAACTTGTTTTACAAAATTTAAAAGTTCATCACTCGGTTCAGTATATACCTCATTCATGTTTTCAGTACTCAAAGAAAAGGTTGTTAAACTTCAAACTTGATGCGCATGATAGCTGGTACTTAACAAAGATGTTTAATTATTTAAAAATCAAAGCATAAAAAGATTCAGATAAAAATGTAACAACATTACATGCTTCACACATTAATTTGAAGCAGAATATAGGCTAGCAGCTGATGACAACTACAGGACAGTCTAAGTCTATCTGATCAGAATGTAGGATAGCAGCTGATGACAACTACAGGTCAGTCTAAGTCTATCTGATCAGAATGTAGGCTAGCAGCTTATGACAACTACGTATACAGGCTAAGTCTATCTGATCAGAATATAGGCTAGCAGCTGATGACAACTACAGGTCAGTCTAAGTCTATCTGATCATGCAGAATATAGGCTAGCGGCTGATGACAACTACAGGTCAGTCTAAGTCTATCTGATCAGAATATAGACTAGCAGCTGATGACAACTACAGGTCAGTCTAAGTCTATCTGATCACGTATGATTATATTAAGGCACTGCTGGAATTCAGGAAGTGTTTTAGCTGCATATTACAATAAAATAGACTATTTATAGACGATTATTTCACTGTAAATAAAGGAAAAGCTGTGTCTGTCAGTACTAATATCTTTACTAGACAATCTTCTTTGTAAAACAATACCACTTAGACATTAAAATATGGTCACTTCAAGATTTTTTGACAACAATGTCTTATATACCATGTTTTCCTCTTACAAGTAGGAAGAGATATTTATAGATTATCACACCGTATTTTCAAGTGTTTGACATGAGAACAATTTTCTCATCACGAGCACGTGGATAAAATCGAGAGGCCACTGCAGGTGGACTTGAGATTTTATCTACGTGTGAGCGATGAAAAAATTGTTCGAACAACAAACACTGAAAATACCGTATGATAAACTATTTATCATCTATATACTACTACCTTATTTATTCCTCCATTTAAAAAAGTCAACTAAACACCATGATTTCCTAATGATTTATAAGCTCAATGGTCAACGATCGCAATTCCTCGGTCTGTGACAAATGTATATATATATATGCAAATAGAAGGTTTGCGTGGAGGAATACAATGAATCTAGAAACTATGCCGAAAAAATATTTTTTAAACAATCCTATTGTCATTGGATTTTCCATATGCACATTTACGCTTGAAATGGTGTTATTATCCTCACACTATTTTTTCGTAACTTTATATTGATTTGTTTATGACGGATTATATTCTTACGTGGATTACTTTTGTTTGGATATCACTTCCGGTTTAAGACGTCACCTGGCGCAAGCAGACCTTCTTTTTTGAGAAAATACGTTCCCAAATAATTGGAAACGGGTAAATCCGTTCTCAAGTTGTTCTCAAGTCTTTCTCAACTTCTTCTGGGGTATTCTCATGCTAACAACCCATGATTATGAATTTATCATGCTACCGGTAGGTGGTATAAATTAGTATATAGATGATAATAAACAAAATCTCTTGTATAACATTTTGGGCTTCGTGTCTTGCATTATTTATCCATATCATTACTTAGGTATCTGAAGCTTCCTGCTAATCAATTAGGTAGGAATCTACATTACTAGGTCCTTTTACATACATCAATCTTTAATGCCTTGGCAAATTTCGTTCGAAACCACTAAATTTGCCTTGGTAGTTCTGTAGTTTTTGTTTGCCACACCTCCATTATTCTGTCCCCCTGCCCTCCACTCTTGGGAAACTTGGGATTGTGTTTCACATTTCCTTTGGCGGGTCATCTGAATGGCAACATGTATGTCTTTGTTGTAGGATGTATACCACCAGGATGTTTCCAGAAGTGCGACACCAGAGAAAGACGAAGTACAAATGGCTACAAAACAACTGAAAAATGCTCTTAATTTTATAGCACTAGAGGAACTAAATATAGAAAAGCTCTATGCTCTGGCAGAGACACGGTTTGCTCTGTGTGTGGTAGCAAAATATGTACAGAAAATCTTTGTGGACAAATCTGTTGAGATGACTAAACCGTTGAGACAGATGATTGATACAGCAGCTAAACTGTGTGAAGAATGTGACTCCAAATGGCCATGGTAAGTATACATCACATTGGGTAGCAGTATACAGTAGAGGGTTGTGGCCATGGTAAGTATACATCACATTGGGTAGCAGTATACAGTAGAGGGTTGTGGCCATGGTAAATAGACATCACATTGGGTAGCAGTATACAGTAGAGGGTTGTGGCCATGGTAAATAGACATCACATTGGGTAGCAGTATACAGTAGAGGGTTGTGGCCATGGTAAATAGACATCACATTGGGTAGCAGTATACAGTAGAGGGTTGTGGCCATGGTAAATAGACATCACATTGGGTAGCAGTATACAGTAGAGGGTTGTGGCCATGGTAAATAGACATCACATTGGGTAGCAGTATACAGTAGAGGGTTGTGGCCATGGTAAATAGACATCACATTGGGTAGCAGTATACAGTAGAGGGTTGTGGCCATGGTAAATAGACATCACATTGGGTAGCAGTATACAGTAGAGGGTTGTGGCCATGGTAAATAGACATCACATTGGGTAGCAGTATACAGTAGAGGGTTGTGGCCATGGTAAATAGACATCACATTGGGTAGCAGTATACAGTAGAGGGTTGTGGCCATGGTAAATAGACATCACATTGGGTAGCAGTATACAGTAGAGGGTTGTGGCCATGGTAAATAGACATCACATTGGGTAGCAGTATACAGTAGAGGGTTGTGGCCATGGTAAATAGACATCACATTGGGTAGCAGTATACAGTAGAGGGTTGTGGCCATGGTAAATAGACATCACATTGGGTAGCAGTATACAGTAGAGGGTTGTGGCCATGGTAAATAGACATCACATTGGGTAGCAGTATACAGTAGAGGGTTGTGGCCATGGTAAATAGACATCACATTGGGTAGCAGTATACAGTAGAGGGTTGTGGCCATGGTAAATAGACATCACATTGGGTAGCAGTATACAGTAGAGGGTTGTGGCCATGGTAAATAGACATCACATTGGGTAGCAGTATACAGTAGAGGGTTGTGGCCATGGTAAATAGACATCACATTGGGTAGCAGTATACAGTAGAGGGTTGTGGCCATGGTAAATAGACATCACATTGGGTAGCAGTATACAGTAGAGGGTTGTGGCCATGGTAAATAGACATCACATTGGGTAGCAGTATACAGTAGAGGGTTGTGGCCATGGTAAATAGACATCACATTGGGTAGCAGTATACAGTAGAGGGTTGTGGCCATGGTAAATAGACATCACATTGGGTAGCAGTATACAGTAGAGGGTTGTGGCCATGGTAAATAGACATCACATTGGGTAGCAGTATACAGTAGAGGGTTGTGGCCATGGTAAATAGACATCACATTGGGTAGCAGTATACAGTAGAGGGTTGTGGCCATGGTAAATATACATCACATTGGGTAGCAGTATACAGTAGAGGGTTGTGGCCATGGTAAATAGACATCACATTGTCCTTTCTAGAGGATCATTATGTATCTGAACCAATTAAATGATCATATCTAACTTCATACACATGTGTATTTTTCACAACACAACTAGACCGGATGGGTCATTTGGCATTTTATTAGCCCACCAGGTGGGATGATGGTGGGCTATTCAAATCACCCCGCATCAGTGGTCCATCATGCCATCTGTCATTCCGTTCGTTATTCTGTCAGTCCTTAAACAATTCTTGTTAGCGTTTTCTCAGAAAGTGCTGAAGGGATCTTTTCAAATTTCACATGAAGATTCCCCATGGTCCCTAGTTATGCATATCAAATTTTGGACTGATCGCAATACCAAGATGGCCAACATGCAGGCAGCCATCTTGAATATGAGAGTTAATTAAAGTTTGTTGGTGCTATTTCTCAGAAAGTTCTGGAGGGATCTTTCTTGAATTTCATATGAAGGTTCCTCATGGTCCCTTCTTATGTATATCAAATTTTAGGACTGAAAAGAAAACCATGATAGCCAACAGGCAGCCATATTAGATTTGAGAGTTAAAGTTTGTTAGCACTGTTTCTCGAAATAAATTTGTGAGGGACCTTTCTAAAATTTCATATGGAGAATTGTTTTTCATAATGAATTTTGGGATTGTTGCAAAGTTTCAGGCACTGACACAATTACACTGTTAAAAACTTAAGTTAATGCAAGTAAAGGGAGGTAACATTTCCAGAACAGCAGATATAAGAAAATGTAGTGTGGCTCTGCCAAAGTACACAACACAGGTAAGAAATATCTATCTATTTTAAAACATAAAAACTATTTTTTGTGTCGCCTGCGAAAAGCTGGTGACACATAGGTATTGCAATGTCGGCATCGTCGGCGTGATCGACAGAGGTTTTCGTGCGATAACTTGAGTTTCCTTTGGCCGATCAAACTCAAACTCTATGCAGTGCTTCCTTACCAAAAGTGCTTGCTTGGGATCGCTTTTCTGGTCCGGAGGTCAAAGGTCAAGGTCACTGTTACTATAAATAGAAAATCTGTTTTCGTGTGATAACTTGAGTTTCCCTGCGCCGATCAAACTCAAACTTCATGCAGTGCTTCCTTACCAAAAGTGCTTGCTTGGGATTGCTTTTCAGGCTCAAAGGTCAAGGTCACTGTTACTATAAATAGAAAATCTGTCTTCGTGCGATAACTTAAGTTTCCTTGAGCCGATCAGACTCAAACTTCATGCAGAGCTTCCTTACCAAAAGTGCTTGCATTGGATTGCTTTTCAGGTCCGAAGGTCAAAGGTCAAGGTCACTGTTACTATAAATAGAAAATCTGTTTTCGTGTGATAGCTCGAGTTTCCTTGGGCCGATCAAACTCAAACTTCATGCAGTGCTAAGCACAATCTCCCAGCTTCCTGCGCAGGCGACACATCCACTTCCATGGAATTCTTGTTATTATTTACTATACCCATACACTATTTGCCATACATATACTAAGTAATACACATTTGAACTATAACTAAAGAGTTCTTCAAAAGGGGTATTTTTATACTCCTATTTCAAGGTAAAAGTCAGTTTTTGTCTTCAACATTCTTCTTTTGTCTCTGGCATTCTTGGGGGCTGCTCACGAAGTAATTTAAACTACTCAACATAATATGACCTAAAACAAAACAAAGAACTTTACATACAAAATACACATCAACATGACAACTAACTCATCGGGCGATCTCGACAGGAGGCAGGCGACCCTGCCGTGTAAGACAGAAAAAGACATGTAGCCTAGCGCGTGATCCCAATAGGCTTAAGACCAGCAGGCGAGTATTGTCTCATTCATCAAAAGCCAAGAAAATGTCTGAAACAAGTCACAAAAAAAAAAAAAAACATGAATAAGAAATGGTTGAACAAATACACATTATTTGTAGATTTATATCACATCTCATGGTCGTTTAGTCAGAAAATAAACACAAAGCTAAAACATAACAAAAGTTAATTCAAAGTTCAAAAGATATATTGCTGGTCTGAAGAATGTCTTTAGTATCTAAAATACACACACATTAATCATCAATTTCATATGCATATTTCAGATCCTCCTTCGGGACAGGGTCAAAAATGGAAGTCAAATTAATTTTAAGTATCTTCATAATTGTTTTTATTAAGTTTGAAATTGCCGATTTTGCAGCCATCTTGAAACTTGTTGTGCAATAGGTTTTTTCCTTTCAACAGTTCACAGTTGAAAATTCTTCTAAAAACTCTCAAGAGCTAGGAGAAGGTTCTTGTATATTGCTTACAAAGAGTTATTATTTCTGGGTCGGTCTAACATCAGTCTTTAACACATTGTTATCTTAATAATTGTTTTCTTTCAGTATATTCTTTATCAAGCAGCTGTGTCGTTGCTATGGACTCGACAGTTACCAGTCGGTGTGTAAATCTGGAGACGCTTACATGAGACGATGGCTTCAGATGCTGGATCTTAACAGAGAGACGGTTTGTTCTTATTGTATATTTCCCTCAGTAAATAGATTATCTTAACCTACTTACAAGGTCACAGGGAAAAATATGTCAAACACTTCAAACAACTTCTGAAGTAGAACCAAAAAGCATGGAATCGTATAATAATATTTGGTTGAAAGTTTTAACAGATGGAGCCGACAAAGTTTGCGAGTGAAACATTTGTAGTACAATATAATATTTAATGAGAATATTTGCTTAAACATTCAGGTGAGCAATACAGGCCCTCTGGGGCTCTTGTATTCATTCCTCATGACCACTAAATAGGTTAAAACAATATCGGTTAGAACAGAAGCTCAACTGGTCACCAGGTGATCAGTGGCTGGAATCAATAGCCAGGTAGGGTAAATCACAGGTGTTAATTGGGGCAGCACGTGTGTGTACTGATTAAGTATGTCTCACAAGATTAGCTTCTATTCCAAACAGTGTTGTTATTTCGTAATATAGAAGGGTAAGGGATAGCATAAGCCACCCAGAGAACGGAAACAGTTGATTGGCAATTGTGCAAAAATCATCTACAGGCACAAGCTCATGTTGCTGACAATTAATCTGTTCCCTTCCGTGCGTAACACTGATGTGTCTTAACTCAGTCACAATCTTAAGCTTGTAAACAGTCTTGTATTACACACTTTTTTCAAAAGTTTGTGATGATAATACCTGTATTTAAAATATGTTAGTTGGTAGTTCAAAATTAAAAATCATTTAATGATGATTTTTGCACGTTTTGTACTTGCAGTAATATGGATTGTTTTCACTACATTACTGGTTCTCGGTAATGCATATTGGCTACATTGTACACCTGTTATAATGAAAGAAAATTTTCAATATGAGGAATTCAATATAACCGGGTTCAACTGTATTATTGAAGGAGACATATTTCTTGAGCCTATCAACTTTAATGATAGATCAGCTGATGTTTATGTATTTTTCACTTTTAACACAAATCAAAGGTAAAGCCTGCCATGTCCCAACAGAGTTAGTTTTGATAATGAATTAAAGGGCGCACTGGGTGACTTTTCCCAAAGAGGTAAAGGCTGCTTCCAGTCAGGTCACATGGCCAAATGATGTACATAATTACGGTGCTCTATATGTTGGCGACATATTGAGCTGTTGATACCACTCTTTGAAGTGTTGCCATATCTTGCGTTGATTGATGTAAAGATAACATTATTTGTGACATATAATAGAGCATTTTGTATCTACATGTATTTTAAACAAAGGAATGTCAGAACAGCATATATATCTAAACCAATTCGCAAATCAATGGTTATGAAACACACCGAAGGAAAATCCAGACCAAAAGATGATAACTCTAACAGATGCATGATATATAGAGAGACAGATAATATTGGGTCCTCTTGCAAGATCAGTAAGATGCAGAAAATCCAGTCGACACAAGTACATCTGATTAAACAACAACAAACTCAGATAAATAAATCGTGCATCACAGGTCACATTGCTCAAAATGACAACATGATAGACTAGGAGAACTACAATGCGCAGTGAACAGAGAAAAGAAATCTGAAAAGACAGCTAAAAACACAAATGTATTTAGGTATGTTAGAATTAGCTGATTCTTAACCAAGTCAATATGGCCCACAATCAACCACTAGTGTGATAGAAATATGTTTTTGGTGTTTTGCATGAATGATATAAGAGTAGATTGTAGAAATGTATAACAATGTCACTCTCAATGGTGCTATTACAATGAATAACCAACAAAACCAACTCAGCTTAAGAGTAAATGTTGATTATTGAGGGACAGCACATATAACATAGTATGGCCAGAGTATCTGAGCTCCTTCAAAGACCACACCAGGACTGATTCTATCTGGTCAGTTCACCCAGTTTTCACATAAACATCAAAGGCAGCCCAGGGAATTGTCAGCCTTATAAGATACTGTTATTGGTCAGCAACATCCAGATACAAACTGTACTATCTGGTAACTCAATAAGACTGATATGGGGTGCTGTGTTTTGGGAGTACTCCTGACCTAATTATATATAAATAGGCGGTCAGATATACACTGAATAAATGTTTGACCTTCAGTGGTCAAACTCTATATTAACAAAAACAAAATCACATTCCTGGGAACAAAATGTTTGAGTAGGGAACTCATGTACATAATACATGTATTGCACTTGTTAGAGTGACACATATATACCATTCTTTGTTTCCCAAGAGTCCAAGTGAAAGATGTTATAATCCAGGATAAACTAAAAATGGTGTTTTCCTATCACAAGGACAATATATAACCTATCATTCCAAAATAAAGCAACAACACAGTAGCAATGATGATCAGGTTGACCCACCCTGGTTGTCCCCTGCTTCAGTGACTCAGACTGTATACGTAGTACTTGGGTGTAGTACCTGTTGCTCTTAAAGGAAATATGACAGGGGGAAACTAGATTACATGATGTTTTATTTCCCTCTCATGTGATCAATCAAATCAGACTTGCTCTTATGTAGATAGTTATAATAACATGTTTACCTGTTATGTTTGACGTGTAGAACCTTGAGTGCTCTGACCTGTACGTGGTATGTGGGGAACAGTACATCACCTGTCGTGAGATGATCACTAAATGTTTACTGGGCCAGGATCCTGACAACCTTATACAACAGCTTCAGGTATGAAACAATACTGTACTTGTAAGTTCTATATGTACTCAGTTTATTACCATTTACATTGTTTGTGTCATCCCACAAAGACAACTGCCACTTATCATCATCTTCAGAACTCAGGACATTCTTAATACCCTTCATACATTTGTACGTTGATGTATTTACGGTTAAAACTTCACTTAAAATTTTCTCCGCTATCAGACTAACAACCCGAGAGTCCCAGGATTTTCTAATAGAACATGACCATTTATGAATTGTCTGCTATCATCGCAATTTTTTATACCTAAATATAGTCTAAAAACTTCAGTTAATTGGTTAACTTCACATGAATTCCAACCCATATCTCCTCGAAGGGCTACATTACTTGCTTTTCTAGCAGCACCCAAAAATACCTGCATGCTTTATTTTGAACCATAGCCACTTCTCTATATTTATTGAGACCCCAGATTCCAGTACCATAAAATAGCACTGGCTCCGCTAGGGATACATACAGCTTACAGTAAACCTCATAACACATTTCTCCAGCATGTACATACTTGGAATAAAGAGCATACAATGCTAATATAGATGTTTAAATCAAATAAATCTATTTCCTTAAGAGTTTTATACCATTTGAAAACCATTAATACTTGTACTTTCATTGAAGGGTTTAAGAAATATGGATTGGAAGAAGAGAGTGACTTTATTGTTGGCAGTGTACAGAGAAGTCACCATGTCCTATGTCTACACAGAGGACAGTAGGAAAACACAACCAGAGGTAGACAGTGATTTCTGGAAACACATATATAAATACTATAAAATATTACCTTATTATGATTTGAAGCTCACCTTACATGAAGTATGTTTGAGCCTTTACATACCTGTAAACCCCTGGATCTCCCTAATGTGATACTTTGAAGGTGTCATGGACTCACAAAAAATGTAACATTTTTTGTTTCTTTAAAGAGATCTATATGACAAATTGAATCAAACCTTCATACTTATTCATTTTAATATCATGTTTTTCCATCTCTTCAAAACACTACATTTACCTTGAGCGCAATTGTTTGTTACTTTTGAATAAAACAAATCTTGTCAGTGTCAAAGACTTAGCCACATATCTGTGATATCTATGTGTCCTTGGAAGGCAGAATGACCTTATCTAAAATTGGTTTTAATTTCAAAGTGTTATCAAATTAGAAATATTGGTAAGCGTTTCTGCTCTGTGAAAAGGATTTCAGTCTCAACTGGGATGAAAAATGGTATCGATACTGTTGTGCCTTAATCCTCTATGCCTCAGTATTTAGAGAGTGTAACAATGAGTGATCTACTTGGTCACTACTTCCTGTACTGTACGTCACAAGCAAGTGTTATAGTCATTTGATTTTTTTTTCTCAAGTAAATAAAATTTGATTCCAATCCTTAGCAAGTTTAAATATGTTATTTCAGACTATTGAAAGTCTCATGAAAGCCATGGCAGGCCATCAGCTTTTCAGAGGACAGGTATGTATCGTAATGCTGTTTTGAACTCATCTTGTCTCATATTGTATGGGGAATGTCCGTCCATCTGTCCGTCCGTCCATCCATCCACACTTTGGACTAAAAATTAAAATCATTCTCCTTCCGTAAAAATGGAGGCATTTTAACCATATTTTGTCTAGAGCATCCTTGGGAAAAGGGGACCCAATTCAGTATAAATGGAGGATGTGACCACTTGTAGGCAGACGGGTAGTTTGGTTAAGAGTATCCTAAGGGGACATTATGTTGTATAACATAAGCTGATGGTGTGGCTCCCCTGGGAACTAGGGGGCAGGTGCTAATGGAAAAAGTTATGTCATAACACGAAAAGGTACTTACTGCCTGGGTCATTACATAGAAACAATTGAAATGCTCACCCTATAAGCATGAATACAATTGTAAGCCAAGGAGAGGTAAATACACTCTTGCTACTAGGATTGAGGTCTGGCTTCAGGTCTGTGAGGACTTACTTCCTGGGTCATAACATGGATTCCTTTACTATAACCGTTTACAAAATTGCTGGGCATGAGGAATACACTCATGTCCTTTGAGTCTTGCAGTCAGCCAAAGGGAATTAAGTCCTTTTTACAGCTTATATGTCTTGTACTCTTTTATACACAGTTCACAGTTATGATATTTGATAGGTTTTAATTGGAAAATAGAAATCCTGGCGAGCTATTAAGACCCTAGGCCTCTTGTTTAAAATGCATTGGAGTAATTCTCTGTTATGTCTATATACCAAGGACATGGAACATTCTGTATTTTAGCTCACCTGGCATGGTATGGTATGATGTGTTATCCATTGTTCATCAACTTTTTCTTTGAACCACTTCTTCTTGAGAACTGGAGGATCTAGGGGGAGGTCCTATGATATTTAGAGAGTAGATACCTGGGAGAAAGTGTTATCAAATTTCCTCAAATAAATTACCTTGACCCACATTCAGGGTCTCAGGGGTCAAATATAACCTTTAAACAACTTCTTTTGAATAATTGGGTGGCCCTGAGTGATGATAATTGGCTAGTAAGTACCTGGCATGAGTGCAAAAAGAAGGTCACTATGACCTCACTGTGACCTATGCTATGCTTTGACCTTAACTTTTGAAAAAGTTTGTCTTTGGCATATCTTCTGTACTTTTTCACCTGGAGCAACCAGTTTTGGTGAACAAGGATATCTTGGGATTGTGGGGTGCAATAATGAGTTCATTGTGACATATGACTTGACCTTTGACCTTTACTTTTGAAAATGTTTGTCAGGGACATATCTTCTGTACTATTTCACCTGGAATAACCAGATTTGGTGTACAGGGATATCTTTGGATGGCAGAGTGCAAAACGTCATGCATGCATAAAAGGCTGAAAATTATTATTTTCACATTGAAGAATAACTATATTTGTTTAAGAAGCCATTAAATAACTACATGACATGAATTAAATGAAAACACTAACATTGTTATACAGGAGAAACTCCTTACAGCGTTGTTCCAAAACACAATGTGGCAACAAATTGAACAGTTCAACATCCACCCAGGAATGGAGCAGCGCGACCAGAGCATTGTGTGTCTGCTTGCCCACGCAGGGATCACCTTCCTACAGGTTCCAGAAGACAACACTCTGTTACAGCCTCTTATTACACTGGCCCTCCTACCACAGAACATGGCGGTATGTATCTCTTACTACACTGGCCCTCCTACCACAGAACATGGCGGTATGTATCTCTTACTACACTGGCCCTCCTACCACAGAACATGGCGGTATGTATCTCTTATTACACTGGTACTCCTACCACAGAACATAGTGGTATGTATCTCTTATTACACTGGCCCTCCTACCACAGAACTTGGCTGTATGTATCTCTTATTACACTGGCCCTCCTACCACAAAACATGGCGGTATGTATCTCTTATAACACTGGCCCTCCTACCACAGAACATGGGGGTATGTATCCCTTATTACACTGGTCCTCCTACGACAGAACATGGCTGTATGTATCTCTTATTACACTTGCCCTCATACCACAGAACATGGCAGTATGTATCGCTTATTACACTGGCCCTCCTACCACAAAACATGGCTGTATCTATCTCTTATAACACTGGCCCTCCTACCACAGAACATGGCTGTATGTATCTCTTATTACTCTGGCCCTCCTACCACAGAACATGGTGGTACGTATCCCTTATTACACTGGTACTCCTACCACAGAACATGGTTGTATGTATCCCTTATTACACTGGCCCTCCTGCCACAGAACATGGCTGTATGTATCCCTTATTACACTGGCCCTCCTACCACAAAACATGGCTGTATCTATCTCTTATAACACTGGCCCTCCTACCACAGACCATGGCAGTATGTATCTCTTATTACACTGGTGCTCCTACCACAGAACATGGTGGTATGTTTCCCTCATCATACTGGTAATCTTACCACAGAACATGGTGGTATGTATCTCTTATTACACTGGCCCTCATACCACAGAACATGGCGGTATGTATCTCTCATTACACCGGCCCTCCTACCACAGAACATGGCACTATGTATCTCTTATTACACTGGTACTCCTACCACAGAACATGGGGGTATGTATCCCTTATTACACTGGTACTCCTCCCACAGAACATGGTGGTATGTACCCCTTATTACACTGGCCCTCCTACCACAAAACATGGCGGTATGTATCTCTTATAACACTGGCCCTCCTACCACAGAACATGGTGGTACGTATCCCTTATTACACTGGTACTCCTCCCACAGAACATGGTGGTATGTACCCCTTATTACACTGGCCCTCCTACCACAGAACATGGTGGTATGTATCCCTTATTACACTGGTACTCCTACGACAGAACATGGCTGTATGTATCTCTTATTACACTGGCCCTCCTACCACAGAACATGGCGGTATGTATCTCTTATTACACTGGCCCTCCTACCACAGAACATGGTGGTATGTATCTCTCATTACACCGGCCCTCCTACCACAGAACACGGCTGTATGTATCCCTCATCATACTGGTACTCCTACCACAGAACATGGTGGTATGTTTCCCTCATCATACTGGTAATCTTACCACAGAACATGGTGGTATGTATCTCTTATTACACTGGCCCTCCTACCACAGAACATGGCTGTATGTATCCCTCATTTCACCGGCCCTCCTACCACAGAACACGGCTGTATGTATCCCTCATCATACTGGTACTTCTACCACAAAACATGGCAGTATGTATCTCTTATTACACTGGCCCTTCTACCACAAAACATGGCGGTATGTATCCCTCATACTTGTACTCCTACCACAAAACATGGCGGTATGTATCCCTCATACTGGTACTCTTACTAGAACTATGGTGGTGGTTAGTATATCTCATACTGGTACTCTTACCACAGAAAATGATGTTGGTAAGTATCTCTTAATATACTGGTACTGTGCTACTATAGTCCTGAATGCCTCAATGAATTTTTAATAAATTTGGTCTGGAGCAAGTTTGTTTCTTATGCAAATTGGACTTGATTTTGTAGAAATTTGAGGTTTCTCTTGTGAAACCAATTTCTATTATAAATACTTACCACAGTCATTATAATGCATATTCCAACCTTACTTGGCTCTTTACATACGTAAATAAAAAAAAATTCCCCCCATGGTGAACCCCTGGAAAACCCACCAATCAGACGGCAGTATTCACGCACGAAGCCATGCTCCCCACTTCATAATTCCAAAGCCCAAAAATGTGAGAGCCAAGGAGACAAGGGGAGGCTGGGAGGGAACTCACTTAATGACTGTGGTAAGTATTTATAATAGAAATTGGTTTCACAAGAGAAATTTCAATTCTATTTCAAAATTCGTTACCACAGTCATTATAATGCGAATTCGACTTACCGCAGTTGTGTCTCCATGGAGCGATGAAGGGTTCCAACAATAGGACCCATACCCCCGGAGGAAATATGCAAAATACCTTTTCTTTTGTGACACAGAGCCTGATTACGACCAGCGTTCCAGATCACGCGGAGAAGACATAATGAGGCTCATGCAAAAGAAGAGGGAGGACAGACAACAGATTAGGCAGCCACAAGGGGGCCCAAAGAATACAACCCGTCAGACTGTCCCGACAAAGATCGGAGATAGAACTCCGTAAACATAGAATGACCCCTCCAAACAGCAGCTGTCATGACCTCAGCGTAAGAAAAACCATTAAATAAGGCCCGCGAAGTAGCTTAAGCACGAACCTCATGAGCCCTAACCCCTGACACCCGCAAGGACTGATCCCCTGCCGACTCATACGCAGCTCGAACAGTCTGAACAATCCAGCGCGAGATCGTCGCCGCAGAGCTATCGGAGCGACCAGGCTGGAGAGACTGGAACAGCCGAGACGAGTGTCCCGCCCCCCCTGTTCTGGCCAAGTAGTAATGCAAGGCCCGAACTGGGCAGAGCAGGCAATCATGACAATCACCATCCAGAGTTGAAGTCAAAGAAGCGATAACCACAAGCCCTGGGGTGAAACAGGGAACCTGGTTCTTAGCTAAAAAGGAGGGATCAGTGGTCACTGAGACCGAAGAATGGCCAGCCGAAAAACCAAGGCAAGAAGGAGATCTGCTGAAAGCATGAATCTCGCTTCTGCGGCGACCGGAAGCAAAGGCTATCAAGAACACAGTCTTGAAAGTAAGAAACTTCCGATCCGTCGACTGGAGGGTCTCGAATGGTGCCCTTAACAAGGAATCTAGCACAAGTGCTAAATTCAACCTAGGGACCAATTGCCATGAACGAGGCAGAATGTAGAAGCCCCTAATGAAAGCAGACAATGAAGCATCCGAGCCCACAGACTTGCTACCATAGAAAGCCTGCACACTAGTAATGGCTGAACGATAGCCCGCAATAGTTCCCGGAGACAGACCTTTGTCCTGGAACAGAGACAAAAGAAAGTCGGTTACAACGGGAACAGAGGCAGAGACTGGATCAATCGACTGTCCGACACACCAATCACCAAAGGCGGACCATCGAAATTGGTAGACGGCGGAAGACGAAGGTCTTAGTGATCCTGCGATGCGAGTTGCAACTTCTCGAGAAAAGCCCATCTGAGTGAGCCTTCCCGAGATAGCATCAAACCGTGAAGGTGGAGCTGTTCTTGGACCTCGGTTAAGACAGCAGATCCCACAGGGGTGAGATGCTGCGTTGGAAGTCCACCGAAAGCCGGCGCAACAGAGGAAACCAAGGTTGTCGAGGCAAGAGTGGTGCAACCAGCAATACAGTACAAGGGTGTAGAAGAATCTTCTCCAACACCCTGCCCACCAGATTGAAGGGAGGAAACGCATACGCGTACATTACCGACCAGTCCTGGGATAGAGCATTCACCGCCATGGCCATAGGATCTGGAACCGGAGACACAAACATAGGGAGTCGAAAGTTCAGGGCCGTGGCGAACAGATCCACATGGGGTCTGTCCCAAAACCAGGCAAAGAGACCGGAACACCGAGACATAGTGTTGGCCAGAACATTCAGATGACCTGGAAGGTGCCTCACCATGAGATCGAGACTGATCTCCTGACACAGCAACAGGACCTGGGTAGATAAAGCACACAGAGCCGGGGAATGGGTGCCTCCCTGGCGCTGCAGATAAGCCACCACGGTGGAGTTGTCTGTCGCCAGACAAATGACCTTGCCCTGCAGGGTGAGTCGAACGCCCCTTAGGGCCAACAGAACAGCCCGCATTTCCAGAACATTGATGTGTTCTGAAAGCTGCTCCCCTGACCACACCCCCGCCGACGTCTGACCTGAAAGGTATGCACCCCAACCGGTCAACGCGTCAGTGTAAAAGGTCATAACAGGAGATGCCCGAACCAGAGGAACTCCTGCCAAGACATTGCTCTCGAGAGTCCACCAACGAGCTGATTCCTTCACCAACTCCGGCAGAGGAATGTACACATCCCATTCCAAGACACCGGAGACCAAACTGACAGAAGGGACAGCTGGAGGGAACCACATCTGCCAGTAAATTCAGGTAACCGAGGAACCGAAGGAACCATTGAACCTGAATCCGCCCCACACCGACCAGAACGGAGACCAACAGAGAGGGCTTCTCGAACTTGGACGCTGGTGGAAGGACCAACTCCAGATCGGTTCTGAACCGATAACCGAGGAAAACAAATTCCTGGAAGGGGAGAACTTCTGACTTCTCCCTGGAAGGGACGAACCCTAGGCGGCACAGAACGCCTAGAACCGACCTCCTGCTCCGGGACAGGATAACTGGATCCACTTGGAGCAACAGGGAGTCGTCGAAGTAGATGTGTGCATCTACCCCGAGACTCTGGAGGTGCCCCACTACTACCTGCAACAACTTGGTGAAAACCAAGGGGGCCGTAGTGAGGCCGAAGGGCATAGCGCGAAACTGGAAAACCTTCTGCTCGAAAGTGAACCTGAGAAACTTCCTGGCCGACCTCCTGACAGGGATGAGAAATTAAGCATCCTTCAGATCGATGGACGTAGTCCACATCCTTGGATGCACTGACGCAATGATGCGTCGTGGCGTTTCCATCTGGAAGTGCAGGGAATCGACGTACGTGTTGAATGTACTGAGGTCGATAATAGGCCTCCAGGCACCAGACTTCTTCTTCACGAGGTAGACCCGGAAGTAAACCCTGGGGATCACCGGTCCGGTGAAAGCTCTCGCGCCAGAGGTGGATCCCTAAGAAGCGGGATGCAGAGACCCTTGAACACAACCCCTAGGGCCCAACTGTCTGATGTGATTTCTTTCCACTGAGGAACGAAATGGGACAGCCGACCGCCTACTGGCAAGTCTGGAAGGAGCCAATCTAGCCCTTCCCAAACCACATCGGCAGAGCCTCCCGCGCCCAAGGGCAGCAGTCTTTGCCTTCTTCCTCCTACGCCTGGAGGAGGCAGAAGCCTGCCTCTTCCTGCTAGTGCCCTTGCCTGCAGAACTGTGGCGTGGATCTACAGACGCAAACGGGTCCAACCTCATCTCAGATTGCACCGAGGGAAGGACCCCGCTAAACAAATCCTCGCCAGTCAAGGGAGCCTCCAAAAGGGTAGCCCAATAGGAATCGCCGACTGGCAGTCCAGAAAGGACTGACAACCGGCGGGCAACAACAAGGTTTGACATGGCAGCCGACAGAAAGGCCATCGCATCAAGATGTGCCTTGCAAATTGCCTGGCTGAGGCGCTCCATCAGTCCAACTTTGCAGGGGAGCTGCTCCATCGACTTGCAGCTCGCAGCCAGCAACGCAGAAGTTAACCAGTCTGCGTAGGACAGAACATGGAGAGCCAGCCTAAGGAGGCGCTCCAACTTAGAGTGGTCCCTAGGCCCCATCACAACCTGGTCAACACACCGCCCAGGCCACTTATCCAGATTCCTCTCAAGGGAAACAGAATTAGGGGCTAAGACTGGGTCATGGATGCGGTACATATCTGCAGCTAAATCTGCGATGTCAGCAACCACGACCTGTAAGGCAGAGAGGGGAAAAAGGCTTGCAAGGCTTGCTCACCTTCTGTTTTAATAATGCATTGACCTTAGTGCAATCTAATTAAAATTATTCCCGTTTATATGTTGCGTTGAAGATCTAACAACATCCCGTAGAGGGTCATGTTCAGGCGACCTTTGCATTAACCAATCAGATGAGAGCTTACGCATTTCTGTAAGTGATGATGTAATGATTTCGGAACACACTTGCCATGATAAAAGACCGAGAGGTGTCAAATGAGCATTGAAAATGGCGGCGCCCATGACACCACGCCGTGTCTATCTACAAGACAACGTTTGTACAATTTGTGGATTTTGCTTTGAAATAAGAGAGACTTCCTCTTCTGGTGATGTTGTCGTTAAAAAGTTTAACATCCTGAAACTAAAATTAACCAATGACAGGCTTCGCAATATTCAAACTATCACTGGACCAGACGAAATTTTGGGCTACGAGGTGTCTGCATTAAATGCTACAGGTCCTGCTTTCTGATTGGTTGAATGAAAGAGTTATGTCGCGTTTTAATTGGCTTGTTATAAATGCGATAATGCATTCATGTTGACCTCTGATGTGACCCTCTATGGGATGTTGTTAGATCTTCAACGCGACATATCAGTAAACGGGAGTGATGTGAAGATATGATTTTAATTAGATTGACCTTAGCGAGGGACGAAGAAAAGCCTCGTTCCTCCGCAAGAGACCTAGCAGAGGCCAAGGAGGCAGATTCTAGGGGAGGCAACATGCTCTGAAGGAGCGGACACAACATGGCTGGCCTGTTTAACATTCCTAAGGGAATGTTGGGCCATCTGCCCTCCCACCACAAATGGGGAGAGAAGGCCGTCCCCCTGTCCCTCAGTCACCGTGGTGACCAGGACAGAGCCCAAACCCTCACCCACGTCGACCGACAAAACGGAAGGTGGGGTGAGAGAAAGGTCCGGGTCCAAAGAAACAAACTGTTTTACAACTGCCCCGGAACAGGCCGAACCCGCCAAAACAAACCCCAGGGAAGACTCAATAGAGGTCGAAATCCCGCTATTGTTCTCCGAGGGCTTAGGCATGTAAAGAGCCAGGTAAGGTTGGAATATGCATTATAATGACTGTGGTAACGTATTTTGAAACAGAAAGAAGGTTTGACTCTCCTTTGGGCAGAGGATTGGGGCTCAATGGGGAATATTGAGGTAAATCTCTAAAATCCTTCTCCATTCAGTAGATTTGAGGGATTTTAACCAGATTGGTCCAGAAAATCATTATATGCAAGGTGAACTCAGTATTGTTTAAACGCTGAGTATGGTCCACCTAAGGGCAGAGGTCGTTACACTATCGTTAGACAAAAGGGTCTCAATTTTGTGGAGGGTGTGACTCTCCTGGGTGCTGAGGGGCGGGGCCAAAAAGTGGAACTTGAGGTAAATATTTAAAATCCTTCTCCATCAGTACAATTATAGGGATTGTAACCAAATTTTGTGAAGAGTATCCTTAGGCAAAAGGGACTCAGTTTTGTTAAAACAGAGGGTGTTACCCCAACTCCCCACCCCCTGGGGCAAAGGGGCGGGGCCCAAGCGGTGAAATTGAAATAAATATCTAAAATCCACCCAACTTCATGGGGGCAGAAAGAAAGGACAGGTATTGCTGAGAAACAGAGCCAATATTTGAAATAGTTGCAGTAATTTATAGAATGAAAATATAGTACAGTTAAACTCAAACTTGTGAGAACATTTTTTCATCCTTTCTGAATACTGATGGCTGTATGTTTTGATTGTTGTTCAATTTTTTATCTTATTAAATGTTGTCATCTTTATCAAACTTCGTTTTACTTCTTTATTACAACCAACATCACTTCTTTTATGTAATACAAATAATATTCAATGACAATATTCTGCAGACCTCTTTCTTACCCACTATGCCACAAGATGATATCACTGAAGTCCAAGAGGCTCTCCTAGCTGCCAGGAATGGCAACGAAAATCCTGTCATTTATCGTAAGTAACCTTTTTTGTGATATGACAATTATTTCAAAGTAGTAAAAGGTCAAATATCAAAGTTCACATTTTACTCTATTTTGTTTTTACGTTAATTTACAAAATTTAATGTTTCAGGTTGTCCTAGAGGTCATCGTTATGTTATTGGGGATGTGAGTATTTTTATATAATCATAAGGTACAAAAGCTTGCAAATACAGAACAGTAAATGTCCACATCGGAATTAAGACCACCCCGCTATTGATGGCACTTGTATTCAGTCCCGTTTTATTTCTCTATATTCCTTTGTATTGGTTGCTTTAGCAATATGACCACCCCACTATTCTGTATTATGACTGCTTTTCACAGTTCAAATAACTGCTAATTAAAGGTAATTAAACAAAACTCAGACCAAGTTAAAAGTAAAAGTTCACACTTGATCACTTTGGAGCAAAAGGCTGGTGTACAGAATATCTTATGAACCCATAATCAAATTAAGTTAATTAGCTCACCTTGATAGGAAGGACCAAGGTTAATTTATGCCTTACTGTAGTGATCATTGTTTATCATCCATCCACAATTTCTTCTAATGAATTCTTCTGAACTGCTTTATAAATAGAGGGTGTTGCACCCTTGGGGCAGAAGGGCGAGTCCTTTAATGGGAAATAGGGATACATTTCCAAACTATTTCTCCATCTGTATAAATGGAAGGATTTTATGTTCTTTTTTTTAATTTGGTCTGGAGTATCCTTGGGCAAAAGGGACTCAGTTGTGTAAAAACAGATGGAGTGGTCCCCCCAGAGTGAAAAGGGTGGGACCTAAGCAGGGAAATAGTATAAATATTTGAAATATAATTCCTTCTTTCAGCATGTGAAGAATTTTACTAAATTTGGTTTAAACAAATTTTGAGCAACAGGGACTCAAACTGGGGCAGATGGATGGCCCGGCCCAATATAATTAGTAGGGGTAAATCCTCAAAATCCTTTACTTTCTGTAGGATTGGAGGGATTTTAACCAAATTTGGTCTAGAGCCATCATTGAGGTTCAATGATAAATTGAAATAAAGAAATGAATGAAGCATTCTGTGGTGGTGATGATTCAAAATTGCACAATTGCAGGAGTCCGGCCAAGATTTGATTCTGACATGGAAATGGATGTTACCCCAACCCCTATGATAATATATGCAATTGCTGGGCATGAACAGAGGAATACAGATATCGTATCAGATTAGGGTTTGGAGTCTGCCCTGCTCTTGGTGGCTTAGTCCCTGTGTCATGAAATGAAACAGTAGATCATACCAATCTTATAACATAAGTAAACAGTCGAAAGCATGAAGGTTTGGATATATATATGCTATCAAGATCACCTCAGAATCATGCCCACTCCCTGGGAACTTAGTCCATAGTCATATCATGGAAATGGTTGAAATTTCCGCCCCATAACCGAAAACACAATTGCTGGGCATGGTGAGAAAAACACAGCCATGCTGAAAACAATTGCCTCTAGGGTCTAGCCTTCCCCTCAGGACTTAATTTCCTGGTCATAACAATAAAACATTTGAGATCCCAACACTTAGAACGATATATTCAATCGGTGGCCATGGGACAAATACATTCATGACTTGCCCCTATGGACTTATTCGTTTGGTCTTAATTGTTAGACATGATTCAGATCACCATTCTGTTACCTGAAATATGCATTTGTTGAGCATGAAGGGGCAAACACTATCATGCTACCAAGATTAGCTCTGGGTTGTATCCCCACCCTGTGGGACCTAATGATACATTAAATGAGAACATTTTGCAACTATTGGTTAAATATCCAGGTGGATAATTTCAAATTCTACACATGATTACAATTTGGGTCAAGGTTTCAGGGTCAATGGTTTGAACAACTTTAATATATTTACACCTTAATATGATAGCATACATTTCTACAAGTGGCAACTGTTTGGATTTTGGTGGTCAACTGTCAAAATTTAAGAATAAGAGATCACATTTTGGTGGCTGGGGGTTGGGTGTATATCTATGTAAGTCACTGCTCAAATTGTTAATATTTTCAATATCATGAATGAAATTTGATTAAATTCATTTCAGTGTGGACGACCAGACGCTGTTTCAAAATGTAGGGAATGCGGTGATCAGATAGGAGGTCAAAGTCATACACCTCTCCCTGGTAATGTAAAAGATGATGGGTAAGAGGCTATGCTAACTTTGAACATCTTAGTACATGTGTCTAGGGAAATAAAGTAATTTGCATCACACCTTATTGTTTGCCACAATGCCACAATGCTAGGAGAGATTATGCTGTATAATCTGCCTCGTTGCTGAATGAAGCTATGATATTTTTAAAGACTATTTCTACCAATTTGCAACCAACTTTAACAGGCTGAAGATTATGTCATGTGTGTAGCAGCATCAAATGAACGGGAACAAAACAAATATTCAGAGGAGGATATAACATTTGCCGTTATAATTTCAAGGTGGTAGCTTATTCCAATCATTGATTGTCTGGGGAAAGAATAATTTTTTAACTGCAGACATTCTACAGGAAATAGTTTAGAAAAAAAGATGATATTGCTGAGATTGTCTAGTTAAAGGGACCAGATGTGTAGAATTAATTGCAACTTTGCTAAGGCATATTTTGTAGAGCATGGTAGCCTCACATCCTTTTTACAATCTACAAGACTGCTCTATTTTAAATTTTCCAACACGTTACCAATGCCTGAGGCATTATATATATAAGGATAATTAAGGTTGGTAACAAAATGGGTCGCCCTGTAGTGAACCATCTCTATCTCATCAGTATATTTGTATGTCCCCGCCATAAAATGGAGGGGCATATAGTGTTGCCCATGTCCGTCCCATCCCGTCCCGATTCAATGTAAACACTTAGCAACTTCATTTTTTGACAGATATTTGTCAAACTTTATACAAAGGTACAATCCGCCATAAAATGGGAGGGGGCATATAGTGTTGCCCATATCCGTCCCGTCCCGTCCCGATTCAATGTAAACACTTAGCAACTTCATTTTTTGACAGATATTTGTCAAACTTTATACAAAGGTACAATCCGCCATAAAATGGGAGGGGGCATATAGTGTTGCCCATATCCGTCCCGTCCCGTCCCGATTCAATGTAAACACTTAGCAACTTCATTTTTTGACAGATATTTGTCAAACTTTATACAAAGGTACAATCCGCCATAAAATGGGAGGGGGCATATAGTGTTGCCCATATCCGTCCCGTCCCGTCCCGATTCAATGTAAACACTTAGCAACTTCATTTTTTGACAGATATTGATCAAACTTTATACAAAGGTCAAGTATGAGTATATTTCAGACATCGTTGTGTTTCAGGGATCCAAGGTCAAGGCCAAGGTCACACTTGCTATATATAGAAAATCATCAACTTATTCAATTTAAACACTAAGCAACTTCATTCTTTCATGGATTTCGATTAAACTTTATGCAAAGGTCAAATATGGGTATACCTCTGACATCCTTCTGTTGCAGGGTTCCAAGGTCAAGGCCCAGGTCACTGTTACTATATATAGAAAATCATCAACTTATTCAGACATTTTCTAGTTTTAGATAAGTGTCCCAAACTGGACTTGCATATTCTCACTTATATGCATTTTCTTTGATTTCAGTAGATATTACTTTTAGATTACACCTGGAAAATGCCATGTTGGGTTTCCTAGTGATATTATTTCCATTTTATGTCTGATCTTATCGTAACATCCAGGTATTTGGCTTCTGACACATGTTTGACTTTGTGTCTATGAAGTATATATGGATAGACTTTAAGATGTCTCTTGATTAAAGAATGGACCTGGCATTTGTCAGGATGGAATAATATAATCCTTTCCCACCTTGGGGGTAAGACGGTAAACCCAACCAAAGGGGTAAGATTCTTAAATGTCTAGCCCGAGGCATTGCATCACCGGGAACCATCCATTAATGGGCAAATTAGTCGAGTGGTTAACACTTCGGCCTCCTATGCAGGCGGTCAGGGTTCGATCCCCAAAGTCGTCGTATGCATGGATATTCAGAGAAAGTTTTTTTCTTCTGCCGACACAACTACAACAACCCAGGTGGAGTTTGATCTGTGGTGTAGCATTCAAGTGAGGTGGCACTAATAAATGATGCTGTTGGAAGCACGGTCCTGCTTCAAATATATAGCACATTACATCTCTAGCACAAACGCAGGCATACACACATAGGGAAATATAAGCCAGGTGGCATAGGACTAGTTGTTAGCACCTGATAAGGCAGCTCCTGTAAACTCCTCAAAAATTGTATTGATTATGTATATGGTAATTGTGTTAGTTGTATATCTATGTAGGGTAAAGCGCTCTAGAGTGGCTTATGTTAGCTAGATAGGGTGCTATATCAAAATTTAATGATGTATTTTATTATTATTATTATCATTAAAATGAATAAAAATGGTATTATCATTAAATTTTCCATAGGTTGTGTGACAAAATTGTTTGGACAGGACAGTAAATGATTTACTTATTGTCATCTCAGGATAGACCAAACCCAACCTGGCCACATTCTGGGTCGGGCTGACCAGAGGACAAATGTTGTTGGTGTCGAGAGGAAGATGTCCCAGATCACCTGCGCAATACTGAGGCTCCTTACCCATGTCGCAATGCTGTTGGGCACCAACCAAAATGTTTCGGTATACTGATCTCTTCTCAGTTTAAGTAAATGTAAACGATCCATAGCTAAAATATGTTTTTGTTGGGGCATAAAATGATTAGTCATATTGTAGGTTTGTGCTTGTTGCCTTTCTTTATATGTCCATCATTTCCAATCAAAATTCTTTCATAATTCATTTTATTTTGTTTTTAACATAATGTGAGAATGTCCCAGAATTAAGTAGGTTTAAATCCCTTTTTGTATTAATTGTTTTCATTGCAGTTCAATCTAGTCTATTTGTTACCTTTAATATCCTTAAAATTTGGTAGACATGATCTTCAATGATAATGATGCTATCTATGATCTAAACCAGAGTTACGGCGCAGTTGTGTCAATTTTGACTGGGGCATATCTTCTATACTACTTCCCCTCAGGTAAACAGCATGGTATGCATGCAAGTTCATTTTGGGATGGCAGTGTACTATGCATGTACGAAAGATAAAGACGTCACACCAGTGCTATATTCATTGCACTGGTTATTTGTACGAAACAGATTGCAGTACAAAATTTGTATTCACATGCAAGGCACTAAATGGAATAGCTTCCAAGTATTTACAGGAGCTTGTCACCCTGTATCAGATATCACGAATCACTGCGGTCGGGTCAGAAATTCAATGTGTGTCCTAAAACCTCGTAGTGTGTCCCAAAATCTCTTACTGGCCATGTTGTGTAATAGCTTAACATCTGCTACCAGGAAATCAAAAACTCAAGAAGGATATAAAGACCAACCGTTTTACAACTGCTTTTTATATGCCCGTCGTCCGACGGGTCGTATTATGTACTATGGTACAGTGTGTGATGATGTCGCCTGGTTTGATTCATAGTCTGTGGGCTGGCTGCATTATCATCACCAATATTTGACCTGACTTTGCCTTAAGAGTCAGCTTTCTAAATTCGATACATATGTAACAGAGAATTGGATCTTTTCTTTGTACTCAGAATAGTTGCAGCGGTAGGCTAGCTATCTCAGGACGATAAAGATTTTGTGCTCATCTTGAGGCTGACTAAAGATTTTCGTGCTATTAAGAATGTTGTCTTTATTTATCTTTTCTCTAATAATTGATAATATCTAATTCTTGTGTATAAAAAAGGTGATTGGTAGGATGATCAAACCAAACATTCCCGATGAGAGAGTTGTGGAATTCCTGCTAAACCACATCAAACTGGACATCTCCAGTCTACAACGAGTGACTGGGCGGAGTGTGGATGATGTTCTACTGCTGATACACAAGGTCCTGTCTAGTGTCACAGAGACCTACAACAATGGAAGTATGTCAATTGTAGTAAACATGTAATGCAGTACAATGTTACACAAGGTCCTGTCTATAGTGTCACAAACACCTACAACAATGGAGGTACATCAGTTGTAGTAAACATGTAATACAGTACATGTTACACAAGGTCCTGTCTAGTGTCACAGAGACCTACAACAATGGAGGTACATCAGTTGTAGTAAACATGTAATACAGTACATGTTACACAAGGTCCTGTCTAGTGTCACAGAGACCTACAACAATGGAGGTACATCAGTTGTAGCAAACATGTAATACAGTTCATGTTACACAAGGTCCTGTCTCACAGAGACCTACAACAATGGAGGTACATCAGTTGTAGCAAACATGTAATACAGTTCATGTTACACAAGGTCCTGTCTATAGTGTCACAGAGACCTACAACAATGGAGGTATGTCAGTTGTAGTAAACATGTAATACAGTTCATGTTACATAAGGTCCTGTCTAGTGTCACAGAGACCTACAACAATGGAAGTATGTCAATTGTAGTAAACATGTAATGCAGTACAATGTTACACAAGGTCCTGTCTATAGTGGCACAAACACCTACAACAATGGAGGTACATCAGTTGTAGTAAACATGTAATACAGTTTATGTTACACAAGGTCCTGTCTAGTGTCACAGAGACCTACAACAATGGAAGTATGTCAATTGTAGTAAACATGTAATACAGTACAATGTTACACAAGGTCCTGTCTATAGTGTCACAAACACCTACAACAATGGAGGTACATCAGTTGTAGTAAACATGTAATACAGTACATGTTACACAAGGTCCTGTCTAGTGTAGTTGTAGTAAACATGTAATACAGTTCATGTTACACAAGGCCCTGTCTCACAGAGACCTACAACAATGGAGGTATGTCAGTTGTAGTAAACATGTAATGCAGTTCATGTTACACAATTGCAAGGTCATGTCTAGTGTCACAGAGACCATACAGTTCATGTTACACAAGGTCCTGGCTAGTGTCACAGAGACCTACAACAATGGACGTATGTCAGTTGTAGTAAACATGTAATACAGTTCATGTTACACAATTGCAAGGTCCTGTCTAGTGTCACAGAGACCTACAACAATGGAGGTTCATCAGTTGTAGTAAACATGTAATACAGTTCATGTTTCACAAGGTCCTGTCTAGTGTCACATAGACCTAAAACAATGGAGGTACATCAGTTGTAGTAAACATGTAATACAGTACATGTTACACAAGGTCCTGTCTAGTGTCACAGACACCTACAACAATGGAGGTACATCAGTTGTAGTAAACATGTAATACAGTTCATGTTACACAAGGTCCTGTCTAGTGTAGTTGTAGTAAACATGTAATACAGTTCATGTTTCACAAGGTCCTGTCTAGTGTCACAGAGACCTACAACAATGGAGGTATGTCAGTTGTAGTAAACATGTAATACAGTTCATGTTTCACAAGGTCCTGTCTAGTGTCACAGAGACCTAAAACAATGGAGGTACATCAGTTGTAGTAAACATGTAATACAGTTTATGTTACACAAGGTCATGTCTAGTGTCACAGAGACCTACAACAATGGAGGTACATCAGTTGTAGTAAACATGTAATACAGTTTATGTTACACAAGGTCCTGTCTAGTGTCACAGACTCCTACAACAATGGAGGTACATCAGTTGTAGTAAACATGTAATACAGTTCATGTGACACAAGGTCCTGTCTAGTGTCACAGAGACCTAAAACAATGGAGGTACATCAGTTGTAGTAAACATGTAATACAGTTCATGTTTCACAAGTTCCTGTCTAGTGTCACAGAGACCTACAACAATGGAGGTACGTCAGGTGTAGTAAACATGTAATACAGTTCATGTTACACCAGGTCCTGTCTAGTGTCACAGAGACCTACAATAATGGAGGTATGTCAGTTGTAGTAAACATGTAATACAGTTCATGTTTCACAAGTTCCTGTCTAGTGTCACAGAGACCTACAACAATGGAGGAATGTCAGATGTAGTAAACATGTAATACAGTTCATGTTACACAAGTTCCTGTCTAGTGTCACAGAGACCTATAACAATGGAGGGATGTTAGTTGTAGTAAACATGTAATACAGTACAATTTTACACAAGGTCATGTCTAGTGTCACAGAGACCTACAACAATGGAGGAATGTCAGATGTAGTAAACATGTAATACAGTTCATGTTACACAAGGCCCTGTCTCACAGAGACCTACAACAATGGAGGTACGTCAGCAAGGTCATGTCTAGTGTCACAGAGACCTACAACAATGGAGGTACATCAGTTGTAGTAAACATGTAATACAGTTCATGTGACACAAGGTCCTGTCTAGTGTCACAGAGACCTACAATAATGGAGGTATGTCAGTTGTAGTAAACATGTAATACAGTTCATGTTTCACAAGGTCCTGTCTAGTGTCACAGAGACCTACAACAATGGAGGTACGTCAGTTGTAGTAAACATGTAATACAGTACATATTACACAAGGTCCTGTCTAGTGTCACAGAGACCTATAACAATGGAGGTATGTTAGTTGTAGTAAACATGTAATACAGTACAATTTTACACAAGGTCATGTCTAGTGTCACAGAGACCTACAACAATGGAGGTACATCAGTTGTAGTAAACATGTAATACAGTTCATGTTACACAAGGTCCTGTCTAGTGTCACAGAGACCTACAACAATGGAGGTATGTTAGTTGTAGTAAACATGTAATACAGTTTATGTTACACAAGGTCCTGTCTAGTGTCAGAGACCTACAACAATGGAGGTACATCAGTTGTAGTAAACATGTAATACAGTACATGTTACACAAGGTCCTGTCTAGTGTCACAGAGACCTACAACAATGGAGGTATGTTAGTTGTAGTAAACATGTAATACAGTACAATTTTACCGAAGGTCATGTCTAGTGTCACAGAGACCTACAACAATGGAGGTACATCAGTTGTAGAAAACATGTAATACAGTACATGTTACACAAGGACCTGTCTAGTGTCACAGAAACCTACAACAATGGAGGCACATCAGTTGTAGTAAACCTGTAATACAGTTCATATTACACAAGGTCCTGTATCACAGAGATCTATAACACTGGAGGTACGTCAGTTGTAGTAACCATGTAATACAGTTCATGTTTCACAAGGTCCTGTCTCGTGTCACAGAGACCTATAACAATGGAGGTACGTCAGTTGTAGTAAACCTGTAATACAGTACAATTTTACCGAAGGTCATGTCTAGTGTCACAGAAACCTACAACAATGGAGGGATGTTAGTTGTAGTAACCATGTAATACAGTTCATATTACACAAGGTCCTGTCTCACAGATCATGTCTAGTGTCACAGAAACCTACAACAATGGAGGAACATCAGTTGTAGAAAACATGTAATACAGTTGATGTTTCACAAGGTCCTGTCTAGTGTTACAGAGACCTACAACAATGCAGGCACATCAGTTGTAGTAAACCTGTAATACAGTTCATATTACACAAGGTCCTATCTAGTGTCACAGAGCCCTACAACAATGGAGGTATGTCAGTTGTAGTAATCATGTAATACAGTTCAAGTTACACAAGGTCCTCTCTAGTGTCAGAGACCTACAACAATGCAGGTACATCAGTTGTAGTAAACCTGTAATACAGTACAATTTTACCGAAGGTCATGTCTAGTGTTACAGAGACCTACAACAATGCAGGCACATCAGTTGTAGTAAACCTGTAATACAGTACAATTTTAAATAAGGTCATGTCTAGTGTTACAGAGACCTACAACAATGGAGGTATATCAGTTGTAGTAAACAGGTAATACAGTTCATGTTACAAAAGGTCCTGACTAGTGTCACAGAGACCTACACATGTAATACAGTACAATTTTACCGAAGGTCATGTCTAGTGTCACAGAAACCTACAACAATGGAGGCATGTCAGTTGTTGTAATAGGTACTGTATAACAGGTTTACAACAACTGACATCCCTCCATTGTTGTAGGGCTCTGTGACACTAGTCAGGACCTTTTGTAACATGAACTGTATAGTGGTGACAGTTAAACACTCTCCCTATAACATTGGTGACAGTTAAAAACTCTACCTGTAACAGGGGTGACTATAAACACTCTACCTGTAACATTGGTGACAGTTAAACACACTACCTGTAACATTGGTGACAGTTAAAAACTCTACCTGTAACATTGGTGACAGTTAAACACTCTCCCTATAACATTGGTGACAGTTAAAAACTCTACCTGTAACAGTGGTGACTAGAAACACTCTACCTGTTACAGGTAGAGTGTTATGTAATACAGTTCATATTACACAAGGTCCTATCTAGTGTCACAGAGACCTACACATGTAATACAGTACAATTTTAAATAAGGTCATGTCTAGTGTCACAGAAACCTACAACAATGGAGGGTCAGTTGTAGTAAACATGTAATACAGTTCATGTTACACAAGGTCCTGTCTCACAGAGATCTATAACAATGGAGGTACGTCAGTTGTAGTAAACATGTAATACAGTTCATGTTACACAAGGTCCTGTCTAGTGTCACAGAGACCTACAACAATGGAGGTATGTCAGTTGTTGTAAACATGTTATACAGTACCTATTACACAAGGTCCTGTCTAGTGTCACAGAGACCTACAACAATGGAGGCACGTCAGTTGTAGTAAACATGTAATAAAGTTCATGTTACACAAGGTCCTGTCTCGTGTCACAGAGACCTACAACCATGGAGGTATGTCAGTTGTAAACATGTAATACAGTTCAAGTTACACAAGGTCCTGTCTAATGTCACAGAGACCTACAACCATGGAGGTATGTCAGTTGTTGGAAACATGTTATACAGTACCTATTACAGGTCCTGTCTAGTGTCACAGAGACCTACAACAATGGAGGTATGTCAGTTGTAGTAATCATGTAATACAGTATATGTGACACATTAAAGTGTCATATTTTGGGGAAAGATTTTTTTACAGATTTATTTTCCATTTTAGGAGCATTTGAACCTGCTGTATGTAGCCTGGTCACCAAGAAAGCTAGAAACCATTGGGAGGAGATGTTCAGCGAACATTGTCTGTTTCCACTGTTACAGGTAGTGTGTTTAATTGTCACCACTGTTACAAGTAGAGTGTTTTACAGGTAGAGGATTTAACTGTCACCACTGTTACAGGCAGAGTGTTTTACAGGTAGAGTGTTTAACTGTCACCACTGTTACAGGTAGAGTGTTTAATTGTCACCACTGTTACAGGTAGAGTGTTTTACAGGTAGAGTGTTTAACTGTCACCAATGTTACAGGTAGTGTGTTTAACTGTCACCACTGTTACAGGTAGAGTGTTTAACTGTCACCAATGTTACAGGTAGAGTGTTTAACTGTCACCAATGTTATAGGTAGAGTGTTTAACTGTCACCACTGTTACAGGTAGAGTGTTTAACTGTCACCACTGTTACAGGTAGAGTGTTTAACTGTCACCAATGTTACAGGTAGTGTTTAATTGTCACCACTGTTACAGGTGTAGAGTGTTTAATTGTCACCACTGTTACAGGTAGAGTGTTTAACTGTCACCAATGTTACAGGTAGTGTTTAATTGTCACCACTGTTACAGGTAGAGTGTTTAATTGTCACCACTGTTACAGGTAGTGTTTATAGTCACCACTGTTACAGGTAGAGTGTTTAATTGTCACCACTGTTACAGGTAGTGTTTAATTGTCACCACTGTTACAGGTAGAGTGTTTAATTGTCACCACTGTTACAGGTAGAGTGTTTAATTGTCACCACTGTTACAGGTAGAGTGTTTAATTGTCACCACTGTTACAGGTAGAGTGTTTAATTGTCACCACTGTTACAGGTAGAGTGTTTAATTGTCACCACTGTTACAGGTAGAGTGTTTAATTGTCACCACTGTTACAGGTAGAGTGTTTAATTGTCACCACTGTTACAGGTAGAGTGTTTAATTGTCACCACTGTTACAGGTAGAGTGTTTAATTGTCACCACTGTTACAGGTAGAGTGTTTAATTGTCACCACTGTTACAGGTAGAGTGTTTAATTGTCACCACTGTTACAGGTAGAGTGTTTAATTGTCACCACTGTTACAGGTAGAGTGTTTAATTGTCACCACTGTTACAGGTAGAGTGTTTAATTGTCACCACTGTTACAGGTAGAGTGTTTAATTGTCACCACTGTTACAGGTAGAGTGTTTAATTGTCACCACTGTTACAGGTAGAGTGTTTAATTGTCACCACTGTTACAGGTAGAGTGTTTAATTGTCACCACTGTTACAGGTAGAGTGTTTAATTGTCACCACTGTTACAGGTAGAGTGTTTAATTGTCACCACTGTTACAGGTAGAGTGTTTAATTGTCACCACTGTTACAGGTAGAGTGTTTAATTGTCACCACTGTTACAGGTAGAGTGTTTAATTGTCACCACTGTTACAGGTAGAGTGTTTAATTGTCACCACTGTTACAGGTAGAGTGTTTAATTGTCACCACTGTTACAGGTAGAGTGTTTAATTGTCACCACTGTTACAGGTAGAGTGTTTAATTGTCACCACTGTTACAGGTAGAGTGTTTAATTGTCACCACTGTTACAGGTAGAGTGTTTAATTGTCACCACTGTTACAGGTAGAGTGTTTAATTGTCACCACTGTTACAGGTAGAGTGTTTAATTGTCACCACTGTTACAGGTAGAGTGTTTAATTGTCACCACTGTTACAGGTAGAGTGTTTAATTGTCACCACTGTTACAGGTAGAGTGTTTAATTGTCACCACTGTTACAGGTAGAGTGTTTAATTGTCACCACTGTTACAGGTAGAGTGTTTAATTGTCACCACTGTTACAGGTAGAGTGTTTAATTGTCACCACTGTTACAGGTAGAGTGTTTAATTGTCACCACTGTTACAGGTAGAGTGTTTAATTGTCACCACTGTTACAGGTAGAGTGTTTAATTGTCACCACTGTTACAGGTAGAGTGTTTAATTGTCACCACTGTTACAGGTAGAGTGTTTAATTGTCACCACTGTTACAGGTAGAGTGTTTAATTGTCACCACTGTTACAGGTAGAGTGTTTAATTGTCACCACTGTTACAAGTAGAGTGTTTTACAGGTAGAGTGTTTAACTGTCACCACTGTTACAGGTAGAGTGTTTAATTGTCACCACTGTTACAAGTAGAGTGTTTTACAGGTAGAGTGTTTAACTGTCACCACTGTTACAGGTAGAGTGTTTAATTGTCACCACTGTTACAAGTAGAGTGTTTTACAGGTAGAGTGTTTAACTGTCACCACTGTTACAGGTAGAGTGTTTAATTGTCACCACTGTTACAAGTAGAGTGTTTTACAGGTAGAGTGTTTAACTGTCACCACTGTTACAGGTAGAGTGTTTAATTGTCACCACTGTTACAAGTAGAGTGTTTTACAGGTAGAGTGTTTAACTGTCACCACTGTTACAGGTAGTGTGTTTAACTGTCACCACTGTTACAGGTAGAGTGTTTAATTGTCACCACTGTTACAGGTATAGAGTGTTTAATTGTCACCACTGTTACAGGTAGAGTGTTTAATTGTTTCCACTGTTACAGGTAGAGTGTTTAATTGTCACAACTGTTACAGGTAGTGTTTAATTGTCACCACTGTTACAGGTAGAGTGTTTAATTGTCACCACTGTTACAGGTAGAGTGTTTATAGTCACCACTGTTACAGGTAGAGTGTTTAATTGTCACAACTGTTACAGGTAGTGTTTAATTGTCACCACTGTTACAGGTAGTGTTTAATTGTTCCCCTGCCATAATGAAGTGAGATGCTGTAATAATCTGTATTTCATACATGCCATAACTTTCTGGTGCAAAATAGTTAGATCAGTGATTATTTTTAGTGAGAATTGGTCAAAATTAATGAGATTTTTTCTGTGAATCAGTGAGAAATTCATGGGACATTTAAAACATAAAATATATAGCATATAACATAGTATCAAATCATTTGTGTTATTCTGAAGCCTATAATTACTTTGTTAACCTTGGGGCAGAGGGGTGGGGCCCAGTAGGAGAAATAGAGGTACCATAGGGATAAAGGGATTTCATCCCAATTTGGTCTGAAGCATCCTTAGGCCAAGGGGACTCAATTTTGAATAAACGGTGGGTGTGGTCCCCCTAGGGACAGAGGAGAAGGGCCCAATAGGGGAAATAGAGGTTAAACATTTAAAATCCTTCTTCTAGCGTAGGGATAAAGGGATTTCATCCCAATTCGGTCTGAAGCAACCTTGGGCCAAAGTTTGTTCCCGCTATATCTCCAGAAATACTGGATGGATCTTTCTGAAATTTCATATGTACATACAGTATCTTCCATGAAGTGCTATATTTTTACCTCATATCAAGTACCCTAAACAGATCCAGGTGAGCATTGCAGGCCCTCTGAGCCTCTTGTTTTGATGGTGGGCTATTCAAATCACCCTGCGCCGTGGTCCGTCCGTCGTCATCCGTCCTTAAACAATTCTTGTTATCGGTATTTCTCAAGAAGGAGCAAAGGGATCTTTCTCAAATTTTATATGTAGGTTCCCCTTGGTCCTTAGCTGTGCAGGGCAACTTTGAGAATGATCGAATAAACAACATGGCCGACAGGCAGCCATCTTGGATTTTGATAGTTAAAGTTTGTTATCCCTATTTCTCGGGAAGTATCAGAGGGATCTTTCTCAAATTTTATATGTAGGTTCCCCTTCTCCTTTTGAGATTGATCGGATAAAGAACATGTCAGACAGGCAGTCATCTTGGATTTTGATAGTGAAAGTTTGTTATCGCTCTATTTCTCGGGAAGTACGGGAGGGATCTTTCTCAAATTTTATATGTAGGTTCCCCTTGTTCCCTTGTTGTGCAGCAGTGCCTGAAAAGGAAGGTCTCCCGCTTGCCAACGGATATTAAAATCTTATGTCAACCAAAAGTTGTCAAAAGTGAGGTAGTCACTGGCCCAACAAAAATAATTTGCGTGACTGTTGAAAAATTTATGAATAAAAGAAATTAAAGTTCCTTCCACATTAACTGGGGGGAGCAGTACATTTTTCAGTTGTCATTACTTTGATTTGAAACGAACTGTCCGTGATTTAGAAAATGTGATGATTTTTTTTTCAGATTTTCTATATAAAATACAGCCAGGGTGTCTTCTTTGAGATGCAAGTTTTGTGTATTTCTTTGGGAAACATGTCAGGTTTTAACTAGGGTTGAAGAATTAAAAACATAATGTTTTATTCTGTTTTACATATAACAAACATTGTCATGTTATATGTAATTTAAATATGCTGAAGCATTGTGTTTAATGCTGTGGAAATATTTCTTCACAAAATTATTTGGGCCACCAATATGTCATTTGGGATCCTTTATTGTTCATGTTTACTTTTGAAACTGATCAGTTAAACAAAATGGCCTACCGACAGCCATCTTCGATTTTTGACATTGAAGGTTTGTTAGTACTATATCTCAGGAATAACTTGAGGGATCTTTCTCAAATTTGATATGTAGGTTCCCCTTGATCCCTCGTTTTGGATGTAATATTTTGAGACTGATCATAAAAACAAAATGGCTAAAGGAAGAACTAAACAGATCTTTCTCATATTGCAATGATCGCTTCTATTTTTTTCACATTAAGTTCTGTAATAGTAAATATGTGAAGGTTGGCTTTCATACACATCAGTATTAAGTTTAGATCAAAAGTTACCTCAAGTTGCATTTTCTGTTAACATGACTCGATCAAACAGATTAGAGGAAAGAAGAGAAAAGATCAAACTGACAAAGAACTAATGAAGATGGTACAATGGTGGGCGCCAAGATCCCTCTGGGATCTCTTGTTTCAAGACGTTTTGCCCTTTTTGCAGACTTTTTAGTTTCAGGACTGCATTAAAAATTTACAGTTGAGCAGGGGTATTAGCATGCCTGTGGCTTACAAGTAAAGATGTTTGAAAAAATTTGCATGCATGCATCTAGTTTTAGCCTGATTTCTCAATTTTAAAGCCCATCAGTAAAGTATATAAAGACCTCAAAAAAGATTCAATTTCACTGATATGGGGATGGTCTACCAGGTATGTTGAATTATTTCTCCTTACATCAATTACTCACAAATACTTCACCACCTGATGTTGTGCATCCAGATATTAGTTTTTCATTTTGACTCTTTTTGGTGGGGTTATGGCCAACTCTTATGGTCAAAAAATCGTCAAACAACTTTTTCTGAATAACCAAAATGTCCAGGGTGACGATATATAGCCAGTGTAACGTAGGACGAACAGCGGGATTAATCACAAACCAACAAATAACAAACATCAATACTTACAATCAATTAAATATAATGTACAATTACCACAATTATGACAATACACGATAATGATGATATCTACAAAGCTCACTCTCTAACACACTCCTCGCTTACATAATACTGGACAATAATTACACAAGTTAACTACAGTCTCTGTCACTACTCCACAAAGGACAAGGTTTCCAAATATCCATGAGGAACTCGATGGAATGTCCACACAGGTATCCAAATTATCCACGAAGGACTCTATGGAATGTCATCACAGGTTGCCATGGATCCACACAGGATCCAATATGTATCAAAGCAAAGTATCCACACAGGATTAAGGGAAATGTCCACAAAGGATTCCGCATAATGTCTACCCAGGACTCATTTCCATCAATGAAAGACAAACAACTATTGTCCACCCAGGATGTTCATCTGGTGTATGGAATAGAGTTCCAAGCATTGCCGCTTTCCATCTTATTCCAACAAGCTCCAATCAGGAAGAACAACTGGTCCTGTGGTTGACCAAGTCTAGTGTGTCTTCGGTGATATCTGGTATGTTTCTGCTATCCAGACATGGTTTGCTGCCAAATAAAGGTGACAGTTGTAAGTCCTAACATCCCTAACTATTATAAAATACATATTGTCACTAACACACAATACAGTAGATATTTGTAATTAAAGACAAATAACATAACCAAGTACAGTTCTAATAATAATTATTATTATGTTTAAGCTGCTTTAAACATGAATAATTACCAGAAAATAGCAAAATCTAACATTACAAGAAGTGTAAAAAACCTATAGTTATGGTCTGCATGAGCTTCCATATTTTTTCTCTCACTTTCATACGCACACATGAATTCACCTATATTTACTTTCTTTGAATATACGATACATACAATATAAATACGTATTAGGATAGTCTCAAATATAACTATAGCCAACATATAAAGAAATACTTCACTACAAACACAATTAACATCTTTATAAACACACAACAAAAACTTCACACGTCAGTGGCCCGCACGTCCACCCAAACAAATGACCATAATATGTATCATACAATGGGCGAAATAATAGTGAAAAGTTGGGAAATATAATTATACACAGTACTTACCACAGTCTGTGTCTATCCATAACACATTGTCTCGGTGTCGCACATGGCTGACCCCTACTCACCGTCCTGTCGGTCTACATTGTCTCGGTGTCGCACATGGCTGACCCCTACTCACCATCTTGTCGGTCTACATTGTCTCGGTGTCACACATGGCTGACCCCTACTCACCGTCCTGTCGGTCTACATTGTCTCGGTGTCGCACATGGCTGACCCCTACTCACCGTCCTGACGGTCTCTTCTACGATGGCCTAGTTGCATCACACATATACACAAAACATATACAAAACAAGACAAACTTACATAGCGAATGTGACAGCTAGTAGCATGCTGAGATGAATGACTGATCCACCTTCAAGGTCACTAGGATAAACAATGTTAAACTATTTAAAAAAAAAATCTGAATAACCAAAACATCCAGTGTGATGATATCTGGCCAGTAGTATGTTGGTATCAAGGGCTACCATGTTTGTTTAATTGAATTACTTTCACCCATATTCAAGGTCACAGGGGTCAAATATGTTAAAATTTCAAACAAATTCCTCAGAATAACCTAAAAGCCATGGGTAACTAGAAATGCTGGGAAGAAGGCAGGGATATCAAATTTATAACCTAGACTCATAATCTAGGTCACAAGAGTCAAATATGTTAAAACTTTAAATGACTTCTTCCAAAGAGCAAAAAATGAATAGTGTTGATATTTAGCTAGTAGCATGTTCAAATAAAGATTTCAACTTTGTTTATGTGAATGACCTCATCCCAATAAACAAAAGGCCTCGGGTAGTGATATTTGGCAAATTGCATGCTGGAATGAAATAAGGGCTACAAAGTTTAATGATTTTGTTTGACTTTTAAGGTCACAAGGGTTAAAAATGTTTAAGTGTTTTAACAGGTTGTTTTGAATGATTTAGAGTCATGCATACTGATATTTTGTCTGTAGTTATATTTAAAGGTAACAAGTATGAGATTTGTACCCATTGGGCCTCTTGTTTCGTTTTCACTCTGCCTTCTGCTGGTCCATCATTACTTCAACATTTGATTCTGAAATGTGCACCATTTCTGCCAGACTTCATCATCTTGTTTCAACTATTTTATGTCAACATTAATGTAATAATTAATTTCTACCACACCACACAGTCGGGTCCCCTGGGAAAGTTCAGCTGAATAATTCAACCTAAATGTGCATGCAGTTTTTCAGGTATCTTACTAATTATAGGAGAAATTTCATATTTTCATATTTCTGGTTAACAGGATTTTGAAGGGACCATGAAATCTTGCAATGCACAGCTAATTGAAGACAAGAGATTGGGTAAGTGCTTAGGCATGACCCCTGCATTACTTCAATAACTCGCCAGATGTAACTACTAACTATGTAATGTTGACAGTATGAGACTCTGTTGTACCTGACCTGAGGTCTATAACTATGTAATGTGGACAGTACCCGACTCTGTTGTACCTGACCTGAGGTCTATAACTATGAAATGTTGACAGTACCAGACTCTGTTGTGCCTCCAGTTATGATATAATATAGATATATATGTTGACAGGATCAGATCCCCTGCTTTGCCTCCTGTTCGAGATAGACACGCCCCAGCACCAAGTTTCCGCTGTGGCCCTACAGGAAGTGGCGTCAGTGTGGAGGTTTCGGTCACGAATCTCAATGGATCACCTCACCACTGTCTTCCAGACAAAGATGGGCAGGGAGCATCAAATCCTCAAGCTATTTCTGGAGGAGGTAAATTCAGGAACATTTGTTTATTATAATCTATTATATTATGTTAACACATAAAATATACAGTTTAATTTCACTGTCATGAACTTCGATATTTTAAATTACTCACTCTCAGTCGTTTTGTTGTCTCCTGGCAGTTTGCTGTTTTGACACATGTCAATGGAATGATGTGTTTTATAACTTCAACACAGCAATGTTTAAATTGGTATTATTTCATTCTTTTCATTACTGCATTATTAATCTATGATTTTTGGTAATCAAGATCTGCTATGAGTGTGGTATTGATACCTCAATATTCAATGGCGCCAAGATCCTCTAGCCTAGTGGGATAGCTAATATATCATTTGACAAAGGTGGACTCTGCATTGTATAAATGGGAGGGTTGAAGGCCCTCTAGAGTCAGGGGGTTGGGGTTCAATTGGGGGAAAAACATAAAACAAAATTTTAATCCTGCTTCTTCAGAACAGGTAAAGAGATTAACCCAAGTTTGGAATATATGGACCATCTTCGGGTCAAGTGCACTGAATATCGTATAACAGACTAGGTAATGCCTTGACTGGGGACAGATGAGTGGAGCCCAATGTGGTATATATACAAGTGAATCATTAAAATCCTACTCCATCAATACCTAGACTGGGGACAGAGGAGTGGAGCCCAATGTGGTATATAAAAGTGAATCATTAAAATCCTACTCCATCAATACCTTTACTGGATTTTGACTAATTTTGGTTTCGTGCTTCCATAAGTCAGGTAGACTCAATTTTGTATAAGCATAGAGTATAGTCCTATTTGGGGCAGGTGGGACCAAATTAAAGAAATAAAGGTAAATATTCTAAAATCTACTCCTTCAGTATTTGTAAAAGGATTTACCCAAATCTAGTCTACAGCATCCTTAGGCCAAGAGGACTCAATGTTTTATAAACAGAGAGTGTAGCTCCCTCTTGGGACAAAGGGGCAGGCCCTACTAAGTTAAATGAAATTAAATATGTTATAATTCAAAATTCAAAAATTTAGTGCGCAAATGCATTATCCTTAGGGTTATCAATGTTGTATAAAGGGTAACCTTAAAACAATAAAAATTGCCAGAGTTACTATATCACCACATATACTCACAGTGAGTACTATATCACCACATACACTCACAGTGAGTACTATATATCACCACATACACTCACAGTGAGTACTTTATCACCACATACACTCACAGTGAGTACTATATATCACCACATACACTCACAGTGAGTACTATATCACCACATACACTCACAGTGAGTACTATATCACCACATACACTCACAGTGAGTACTATATCACCACATACACTCACAGTGAGTACTATATCACCACATACACTCACAGTGAGTACTATATCACCACATACACTCACAGTGAGTACTATATCACCACATACACTCACAGTGAGTACTATATCACCACATACACTCACAGTGAGTACTATATCACCACATACACTCACAGTGAGTACTATATCACCACATACACTCACAGTGAGTACTATATCACCACATACACTCACAGTGAGTACTATATCACCACATACACTCACAGTGAGTACTATATCACCACATACACTCACAGTGAGTACTATATCACCACATACACTCACAGTGAGTACTATATCACCACATACACTCACAGTGAGTACTATATCACCACATACACTCACAGTGAGTACTATATCACCACATACACTCACAGTGAGTACTATATCACCACATACACTCACAGTGAGTACTATATCACCACATACACTCACAGTGAGTACTATATCACCACATACACTCACAGTGAGTACTATATCACCACATACACTCACAGTGAGTACTATATCACCACATACACTCACAGTGAGTACTATATCACCACATACACTCACAGTGAGTACTATATCACCACATACACTCACAGTGAGTACTATATCACCACATACACTCACAGTGAGTACTATATCACCACATACACTCACAGTGAGTACTATATCACCACATACACTCACAGTGAGTACTATATCACCACATACACTCACAGTGAGTACTATATCACCACATACACTCACAGTGAGTACTATATCACCACATACACTCACAGTGAGTACTATATCACCACATACACTCACAGTGAGTACTATATCACCACATACACTCACAGTGAGTACTATATCACCACATACACTCACAGTGAGTACTATATCACCACATACACTCACAGTGAGTACTATATCACCACATACACTCACAGTGAGTACTATATCACCACATACACTCACAGTGAGTACTATATCACCACATACACTCACAGTGAGTACTATATCACCACATACACTCACAGTGAGTACTATATCACCACATACACTCACAGTGAGTACTATATCACCACATACACTCACAGTGAGTACTATATCACCACATACACTCACAGTGAGTACTATATCACCACATACACTCACAGTGAGTACTATATCACCACATACACTCACAGTGAGTACTATATCACCACATACACTCACAGTGAGTACTATATCACCACATACACTCACAGTGAGTACTATATCACCACATACACTCACAGTGAGTACTATATCACCACATACACTCACAGTGAGTACTATATCACCACATACACTCACAGTGAGTACTATATCACCACATACACTCACAGTGAGTACTATATCACCACATACACTCACAGTGAGTACTGTATCACCACATACACTCACAGTGAGTACTATATCACCACATACACTCACAGTGAGTACTATATCACCACATACACTCACAGTGAGTACTGTATCACCACATACACTCACAGTGAGTACTGTATCACCACATACACTCACAGTGAGTACTGTATCACCACATACACTCACAGTGAGTACTGTATCACCACATACACTCACAGTGAGTACTGTATCACCACATACACTCACAGTGAGTACTGTATCACCACATACACTCACAGTGAGTACTGTATCACCACATACACTCACAGTGAGTACTGTATCACCACATACACTCACAGTGAGTACTGTATCACCACATACACTCACAGTGAGTACTGTATCACCACATACACTCACAGTGAGTACTGTATCACCACATACACTCACAGTGAGTACTGTATCACCACATACACTCACAGTGAGTACTGTATCACCACATACACTCACAGTGAGTACTGTATCACCACATACACTCACAGTGAGTACTGTATCACCACATACACTCACAGTGAGTACTGTATCACCACATACACTCACAGTGAGTACTGTATCACCACATACACTCACAGTGAGTACTGTATCACCACATACACTCACAGTGAGTACTGTATCACCACATACACTCACAGTGAGTACTGTATCACCACATACACTCACAGTGAGTACTGTATCACCACATACACTCACAGTGAGTACTGTATCACCACATACACTCACAGTGAGTACTGTATCACCACATACACTCACAGTGAGTACTGTATCACCACATACACTCACAGTGAGTACTGTATCACCACATACACTCACAGTGAGTACTATATCACCACATACACTCACAGTGAGTACTATATCACCACATACACTCACAGTGAGTATGAAGAGATAAATACATCCATGCTAACTGGTTTGGTCAAGGGCCTACCCTGCCCCTGGTGGTTGATAATCACACCCTTAAACTTAAACTACATATAGTTTTGCTGGAAATGAAGTCAAGATAAATTTATCCATGCTAACAGGAATTGCATCAGTGTTCAGCATTACCCCTGTTACTGAGTCCATGGGTCATAACATGGAAGCTTTAGCCATTTATACAACAATTGCTTAGCATGAAGGGATAAATACACTAATACCACTTACAGTTGTGGGATCGCACAATGTTACATGGTGTGCGCACGATGTGTGCACTGTGTGTGAATGATGTGTGCACGATGTGCGAACGATAAAAAAGTTGGACGATCATTGCTTGCGCACATTTGTGTGCAGGATGGACGAACGTTGAGCGATAACAATCGTGGTTGGTGTAAATTGAGGAATGCCTTAACTATATATATAGTTTCGTGGTTAATCATATAAGCTTGATTTTTACGTATGTTTCTATATTCTACCTTCATCTATAAGCTTATCTTTATGTCTATACTTTCTTAAAATTAGAAAATGTATTTTCAGTATTTTTTAAATGACCTTAATCGACGCATGTGAAATTACAACACAGTCCCGTATACAGGTAAACATAGCCACTTTGTACATGTACCTGGACCGTAGTTTTCCCCCGCCAAGGATGCTTACATATTTCGTTGGGTAGGGCCAGGGGTGTGAAAACCCAGGTGAAGGGGAGCTATAGGCAAACCGAATGCAAATAACAAATACTAAACATCCAGTTGTGTTTTCATTACGGTCATACGGTATCACATATCAGCTCTATGTGTCGGGTACAGGCCATGGTAACAACCCGGTCACTCATCAAATTGTTGTTTATCTGTTCTGTTACTGTTTAGCTGTGTTACACGCATTGTAAAACTGTACATAATCTTCATAACTGTGATGAGAAATTACAGTAATACATACAGTTTTCATTATTGCATACAAGCTTTACATATTTTTTTCATTCCGTAATATTGATATACAAATTGTACCCAATCGAACAGTTGTGCAAAGAAAAGCGCACCACGGGGCGAACGATTGTTAAATCGCACAGTTGTGCGCACCATGTGTGGACGATGTACAGACGGTGTGTGAACGATGTATGCATGGTGTGCGCATGCTATTTTTGGTGCGTTGTGCGGTCACACAATTGTATTATTAAGTCCACTTGGCCTTTCGTTTTGAAGAAAAGATATGACTTGCTAATTGTATGTATCAGACACCAAGATAAAAGTGATATCCTGCTGTCTGTCTGGCTGCCATTTTGGACAACTAGATAGTGATGGCAGTTTTTATGAGGCTTGATTTTACATTTATACATTTTGATAGTACTGATGTCAATGTGTTCATAGACGATAAGGATTATAAAAGATATTGAAAGCAAAAGTCTACTTTCAACGGTAAGCATACAATAGAAGTGTAATTATTACTCTAGTAAGGTAACTGTATCTCCAAGCAGAAGATACAGCGATAATTGAATACAATTCTACATTTTGATTGCTATGTAGGATTGTCACCTGCGAGCTGTTCGCCTCATCCCTAGCATTTTGCGCCTCCAGAGAATGTTGATTCACAAATACCAGATGAAGCTGGACAGTGCTGAAGCCAGAGTCTTCACTGTGGAGAGGGTTCAACGGAACTTCAAGGAAGGTATATTAATTAGTCGAAACTACAAGTTAAAACCGAGTAGTGTTTAAGGTTTTATCTGCAAACATTTGACTTGAAGCAACAATCATGATCAATATCTCACTAAAAAAATGTCAAAACTTTGTGTAAAGAAAAATGGATTCCATTTAGTGTGTTGATCATAAGTGATTTTATTTTGCACAATATTTGAATTGTGAAATTTTAAATCACTCAAAATTTGTTATAATCTTCCATGTTACATTTACCCTTCTAATTATTCTGTCTGCATAAAGAGAGGGAAACAATCATGATATTAGTGTTGACTCCTTGGTCTGGCTCCACTCCTACAGACTTAATTCTTTGGTCACAACTTTGAAGTTGTTGAGATCCCCAACCCATAGTCATTTATACCATTGCTGAGCTTAAAGATCCAGGTGAGCGATATAGGCCCTCTGGGCCTCTTATGTATCAACTTTATACTACTTTATACCACCTACCGGTAGCATGATAAATTCATTAGCATTGGTTGTCAGTATAAGAAGGACTTGAGAACAACTTGAGAACGGATTTTCCCATTCCCCAGCACTTGGGAACGTATTTTCTCAAAAAAGAACGTCTACTTGGGCAGATTGGTCGAGTGGTTAACACTCCGGCCTTTCAAGCAGGCGGCCGGGGTTCGATTCTCGAAGTGGCCATACGAATGGAATATTCAGAGAAAGTGTTTTTCTCCTGCCCACACAACTCCAACAACCCATGTGGAGTATAAAATGGTCTGGGGTGGGTGTTGCAGTATCTGTGCTGTAACATTCAAGTGAGGTGGCACTTTAAATGATACTGTTGGAAGCACGGTCCCACTAAAAACAGAACTCAATACATCTCTAGCACACACACTTGTATACACACATAGGGAGATATTAGCCAGGTGGCATAGGACTAGTAGTTAGCGCCTGATAAGGCAGCTTCTGCGAATTCCTTAATATTGTATTGATTAATATATATATGCTAATTGTATTGACTGTATACAATTGTATATCTATGTAATGTAAAGCGCTTAAGAGTGGCTTATGTAAGCTAGATAGGGCGCTATATCAAATGCTGTATATTTTTTATTTATTTTACTCTTGCCAGATGACATCCGAAACCGGAAATAGTGTCCACACAAAAGTGATCCGCGTAAGAAAATGGTCTGTCATAAACATACCAATACGAAGTTACAGAAAAATATTGTGGGAATAACAACACCATTTCAGGTGTAAATGTGCATATGGAAAAGCCAATGAAGATAGGATTGTTTTACCTACTTTTAAGGTTCATTGTATTCCTCCGCACAAAACTTCTAGTTGCTTACGTTTGTCACAGGCGATCGTTGACCACATGGTGTTTAGTTGAGTTTTTTAAATGGAGAAATATATACAAGGTAGTAGTATATAGATGATAAATAGTTTATCATACAGTATTTTCAGTGTTTGTCGTTCGATTTTATTCACATGCTGGCAATGAAAAACTGAAAACACAGTGTGATAATCTATTATTATCAGATAATTTGAAAAATATGGAAATGGAAGATATCAAAGACACAACTTTCACATAAGGGTCAATATAGTCTTAAAATACACCCAATCAAAACAGTCAATGCACAATCTCCTCTCTATTACCATATACACATAAAAAAACGGCTCCAAAGCATATTTTTTATGAATCTTTGGTCCATTTTACCTATGAATCAATTCTGTGTGTAAAGAAAGAATGTATAGCTTCCTGGAAAACTGGACACAAAACAGGATAATTGAGGTGTTTTATAAGTATCTGAAAGCCTACCTCTCCTGAATAATTGATCATATTACAACCAAAGGACTAGGGGCGTTAAGAGTCATTTCCAGCCCCATCGGGGATTTAGAATTATTTGTTATATTCGTAATCTTTAATAAATGAAGGATGCAAAAATGAAATTGCAAATTCATCCAACAACTGGTTAATAGTAGATATGGCATTACAATGAGAAACATAAACCGGCATTTTCTTAATAAATAAAGTGAATATCGCTGTTGTGCGCTATTTGGTTGAAAATTGGCAATTTTGAAGGAAATTAACTAAAAACTCTTCAATATTTGAAAGTCTTCGCATTAGTTAAACAAATTAATATTTGACTTGCTTAATAAACCTTGTCATACCAGTGTTCATTCCTAGAAAGGAATTTTTGTTTGTCACATGCAGAGGCTTTCGTTTCTGCAATTCTAACTGTCCAAAAACACCACATTTTGGCTATTTCTGCATAGCAACGCAACTTTGTTGGTATGGAAGGGCATCTACGTTTGCACATTAGAAAAAATCTGCACCAAGAAAGAGCGCCTCAATTAACCAATATGATGTTTATAACAGAAATTTTTAAGTAAATTCAAGTTGAAATTTCTACTTTATATGAGGCCAAAAATGTCCTTGAGACCAGGGAATCAAATGTTGTAATTATATATAAGAAGGTGTTCTCCACTGGATGCAGAGAGATGAATTAGCCCAAATTTGAGTGGAAAAAATTTGCAGTATTATTATTGTCTTAAATAAGAATGGGTTTTTTTCATGATTGCTTAAATATTTCTCTTGTTTTGTCATTGAGATGTTGTATGTTAGCTCTCACGGACAAATTTGGGTTGTTGATGGTAATCATGTCAAACTTATGTTGTAGATGGCAAAGAAGACGAGGTGAAACAGCTGATACAAGATTTTGCGGAGGCCTGGAATTGTGTCCGACAGGCTCTGGAACATTTCAGTAAGTATAAACACACATAGATGACCCTAAATGAGTGTGCACCATTAATTTATGGATAACCTTTTAAAATGATAGTTTACAGATTTTTGTTGCTTGAGATATATTCGTGAATGATATATGGTCCGTTTGTGGTTTGGGATTTCAAAACACACTGATTAGATTTAAGTTTTAGTAATGAATAGTATACTATTTATCAATTTAATAACTACAGTAAATTTGTTGTCCAGTTTTATCAATAATACTATACTGCCCCTTGTTGAATGTGCTAAAACTGTAAAGTCGTTTTTGTTAGAAACAGAGTATATGACATATAAAGTGCAATTGGTGGGGCTTAATGAACCAATAATTCTATAAAAGATTAGAACATGGACTGTATCCAATCAAAACTTGTAGAACGTGGACTGTATCCAATCAAAACATGTAGAACGTGGACTGTATCCAATCAAACCATGTAGAACATGGACTGTATCCAATCAAAACATGTAGAACGTGGACTGTATCCAATCAAAACATGTAGAACATGGACTGTGTCCAATCAAAACATGTAGAACGTGGACTGTATCCAATCAAAACATGTAGAACGTGGACTGTATCCAAACAAAACATGTAGAGCGTGGACTGTATCGAATCAAAACATGTAGAGAGTGGACTGTATCAAAACAAAACATGTAGAACGTGGACTGTATCCAATCAAAACATGTAGAATGTGGACTGTATCCAAACAAAAAATGTAGAACGTGGACTGTATCCAATCAAAACATGGATTGCAAACTAATCATGTTGTTGTATAACTGAAACATATGCTCACTTCTGAGGACAGTCAGACATGTACAGGGTCTGATAAGGTAACATTTGCAAGACTTGAAAGAAATGTGCATCTCCACATCTCAGTTCAAAGTACTGTATAAGAAAATTGTCAACATGTTCCTGATATATTGAGAATAATTTTGATAAATAAATATAAAATTCCAAATCCCATTCATAAATAGAAATGCTATGCATTTTTCGTTTTTATGAAACATACCCTGACATAAAAGGGAGTATTTTGCCACAAATTGTTTAATGGCGTTAAGTTGTCACAGCTGTAAAGATCTTAGATTAAGATTATTCAGCCATGGACTTTGCAATGTGTTTACAAAATCCCTTTACAGGACTCTGTTCAAAATGAAATGTGGCCCCATATTTTCCCAGTTTCAATCTTCAATTCTGTCAATGAGGATGATTCATAAATAGACATTCAGAAATCAAGTTCTAATGTAAGCAGCATATATTTCATTAATATAGACACACTGTACAAATGTAAAGAGTTAAGTCATACTGATCATTTTACAATGAAATGAAAGTTTTCTTTTGGAATTACACGAGTAAAATGCTGACAAAATTTCCCAATTAAACGACAGCTGGGGTCTCATTCTCAAAACACCCCTGTCAACTGTTGTCTACATTTGAAATAAATGCAATAGCTCCTTGGTTTAGCTACAGCCCAGTGACCTCCAGATTGCTGGTTCCAATCTCTAAAGCAGTATTCTTGGATTGTATTTAGCTCACCTGGCCCGAAGCACCCTGTGAGCTTATGCTGTCCTCATTCATGCCATAACTTTCTGGTGCAAAATAGTGAGATCAGTGATTTTTTTAAGTGAGATTTGGTCAAAAACAGGGAGATTTTTTCTCTGAATTAGTGAGAAATTTGTGAGACATTTATAACAGAAATGATACTGTATATAACCTAGTATTAAATCATTGTGTTGTTCTGAAGCCTCTAATTACTTTGTTGGAACCAAAATTGGAGATTTATTAATATTTTAAAGAATTATGGTCAATATAACATGTGGTCAGGATATACTAGGGTCCAACCTTTGACCAAATCATAACAAACCTGTTTTTAGCTCACCTGGTCCGAAGGACCATGGTGAGCTTATGCCATACTGCAGAGTTGGTCATCCGTCGTCTCTCGTCTGTCATCCGTCCGTCAACTTTTCCTTTAAAACACTACTAGTCCTGAACGGCCAATTAGTAGATTTTGACTAAAGCATCTTAGGCCAAGGAGACTCAATTTTGTATAAATGGTGGGTGTGGCCTCCCTGGGGGCAGAGGGGCGGGGACCAATAGGGGAAATAGAGGTAAAACCTTCAAAATCCTTCCTCTACCGTAGGGATTAAGGGATTTCATCCTAAATTAGTCTGGAGCATCTTTGGGCCAAGGGAACTCAATTTTGCATAAACTGTTGGTGTGGCGCCCCCAAAAGGAATGGATTCATAAGATTTGGCTGGTAGCTTCTTGGGATAGAGCTATAAAAGTTTGAGGATTTAGGGAAATGAATTGACATACTTACAAGGTCACAGGTAAAAATATGTCAAACAACTTTTGAAGAAGAATGATGGCCAAAAAGCATAAAATCTTATGATAATATTTGACTGGTAGTTTCAACAGTTGGAGCCGACAAGGGCGCTACAATTTTGGTACAGTTATCTCTATAAACACCATCCTAGACCATCACACTACCACCACCAAAACAGTCCTGTTAAACGATGCATGCAGAGTCCTATCTTGTGGTCTTCCTGAGCAGTCAGTTCATAAGGTTTGCTGCTTCACAGTTGGTCACATATTGACCCAGTTTGGTTCAGATGATTCAACAAAAGGTTAGCTATCAAATTGCCATACAACTTGACGTTGCGGCACTCTTGCATGAAGCATGCCAACAGCCCTTTCCCCCGAAATTGAAACAGCCATGGCATATCAGGGTGCATATTGGTGATATTTTTATTTATTTTTAGTTTTCATTTATCAGGGAGTGAAAGAAAAATTATGTTTATGTTTTGGAGTCACTATTGTATAGTGCACAAGTTTGCAAAAATGCACTAGGCGCCACAGACTTTCATATTTGAGTTATTATTTTACAGCATATTCAACATCTGGTTGCATCGCTGTAGTGTCCAAGGAGTTCTGCTCCAAACAGATTACCGACAGTACACCAATCTCTATGTTACTACCAACAAAGAAGGATGCTGGTCTCTGTTCCTACATACTGGTATACTTCCTCTTAAAGAAACAGAATGAGTTTCTAGAGAAATACTGCCGATGCAAGACACTGAAGTAAGTACTTGTTAACTTAAACTAAATACCATTTTATTTTGTTTCTAAAATAACAGGTACATTGACATCTCTGTCATGACTGCTGACATTGCATTTGATGGGGAACCATTGACAAAGCTCTCACCAACAACCCAGGACGAGTTGCGCAACATTATCATGACCTCGCAATCGAAGTCCTGTGAGCTTGATCCACTGCCTACAGACCTATTAAAGCAATGTCTTGAAGCACTGCTTCCTTTGATTACCGCAATCATGAATAAATCATTGGTTGAGTCAAAGGTTCCATTATGTTTCAAGAAGGCACATGTCAGACCATTGTTAAAAAAGCCTGGAATGGACAAGGAGGAGTTGAAAAACTACCGCCCAGTTTCAAATCTGCCTTTTCTGTCTAAGATCTTGGAGAAGGTTGTGTCCCGGCGTTTAGAGGTTCATCTCCATGCAAACAGTCTCCATGACAACATGCAATCGGCCTACCGCATGGGACACTCTACTGAGACGGCCCTCCTACGTGTACATAGTGATATAGCTTCTGCATTGGATAACAAGTGCAGAGCGGTGCTTGTCATGCTGGACTTGTCAGCTGCATTTGACGTCATCGACCATGGCATACTTTATAAACGTCTGGAATACTCTTATGGAGTGACTGATACCGCACTATGCTGGATACAGTCATACCTGAGTGAACGACGACAGTGTGTTGCCATCGGATCTGCCACCTCACATGACAAAGTACTAGATTTCGGGGTTCCTCAAGGGTCGGTGTTAGGACCACGAAAATATTGTATGTACTCCAAACCGATTGGAGAGATTTGTCGTCGCCATAGCCTTCGCTATCATTGCTATGCTGATGACACACAAATTTACATGGTCATAAAACCACAGGACAGTTGGAATACAGTCTCAGAAAGTCTGGAAGCTTGTCTGACAGATATCAGTATCTGGATGAACGCCAACATGCTTAAACTTAATCAGGAAAAGACGGAACTAATCGTCTTTTCCCCAAAGTGTCAGCAAACAATGGCTCTCCAGCTCAAGGTTGGTGCCAGAACTATTGAGACTGTTCCAGCTGTTAAAAACCTAGGGGTATACTTTGACAGTTCTCTGAACATGGAGAAACAAGTGAACGCTATTGCCAAATCCTGTTACTACCAGATCAGGAACATCGGCTGTATTCGGCAGTTTCTAACTGCAGATGCATGCAAGATTTTGGTGCATTCACTTGTTACCTCTCGGTTGGATTATGGTAACGCCCTGCTCTGTGGTATATCTGACAAACTAACTAGTCGTCTGCAGAGGGTTCAGAACACTGCAGCACGGCTAGTTACTCGTACTCGAAAGAGAGAGCACATCACACCTGCGCTTTATTCGTTGCACTGGTTACCTGTACGATACAGGTCGCAGTACAAAATTCTGGTATACACATACAAGGCACTGAATGGAACAGCTCCTCAGTACCTACAGGAACTTGTTACCCTGTATCAGCCGTCAAGATCACTGCGGTCGGAGTCAGAATCTTCATTGTGTGTCCCAAAATCTCGTACTGTGACCTACGGAAACAGATGCTTTGGGAGGGTTTCGGCTACGTTGTGGAATAGATTACCATCTGCTATTAGGAAGTCAAATACTCTGGCCAAGTTCAAGAGGGACATAAAAACTCACCTCTTCACGTCTGCATTTTAGAATCTTTGCAAAGACGTCATGTAAATACCACCCTTTTATTTGTTCAATTATGTGCACATTGCTTGTTAAATGTATGAAAGTGATTGCAAGCCTTTGTTGTTTGTTTTCACAATTATAACCATTACTATTATCCATATGTTGTAAAGCGCCTTAGTGTAATTTTACAAATTATATAGGGCGCTATATAAATGCTGTATATTATTATTATTATTACCTTCCCAGAATGCATTTATTTTACGGAAATACTTACATGTGCAAGAAATGTGCTTATGTTTGAGAAAGTTTTAAATTGCCTGTCCTCAGTGAAAATTTTAACTTATAATTAAAATGCATTTATCTAAGTACTGCATAGTTGGTATTATTTGTGAAGAAATTAATTAAAAAAAAATGAACACCAAGCAAATATCATTACTGTGAATAATAATTGCTGTGGCTACTTGCTAACTCTCACTTTAATTTGGGAAGAATACTCCCGATTTTGGATCCTTTAATTTTGTATTTCCAACCAGCGAATTCGAATTTGCTTTACTATTCCTATATTCCAAGATCTTATCTAAAAGAGCATCTCAAAATATTTAGATTTTGAGCAGAATCTCCCCCATGGAAATATCTAAAGGGTGGCAAGTATGTAGTCAACATTCCATGTTATCTGACTCTTCTGTTGTTAAATATCTATTATATGGATTTTCTTTATTGAAAAATAATTCAGAGTGAACTTTTTCAATACTTGCTTCTCTACTCTTGTATAAAAAAAATCCTCATAAAAAATGTCAGTCATATGTTAATATATCCTTAATATCAGTTCTTGCTTTATTTCCATCCATTGATAATTTAGATACACGCTTATCTGTAGAGTGAATTTTATAGGCCCATCGAAAGACAGGACGTATTATGTTATCACGTAAGCGGGTGGGTGCCATCGGCAGCAGATGGGCGAATAATTTTAAGTAATGTTCAATTTGAAGGTTGGAATAGTTCATTATGAACTTTTAGGGGTGAATGAGTTAAAAACCATGAGAGCTCAGACAAGTGTGATAATCACCATTGCCCATCTGTAATTTAGGGAGTAATGTCCCTTTAATCGATTGCTGAAACAGTGTCCACTCTATACCACAAGTGATTAACTTCAAACTTCATGGGTTCTCCTGTTGTCAGTATAATATGACCGGGAGGGGTGGGCTGCTGGGTTTCTTTGGCAGTATGTTTCAGTGAGGTAGCACTATAAAGTCGGCATCAGTTCCGTGCTATCACAAGGAGACAAACACGAACATGTTGCAGCCTCCAAAAACACACAGGCATACACTACATGCATGCATCTTGCACACAGGGGAGGCCGTCCTTAAATGACCATAGCTGCTGATAGGACGTTAAACAATACTAACCCAAACCAAACCAATCATGGGCATGTTAATTACCATGAAAGCTTGGATGAGGTGGATAACCACCATTGCCCGCTGTAATTTATGGAGTTATGTCCCTTTACACAATTACTGAAACAGTGTCCACTTGATATCTCCACTTGTTTTCAATGGATTAACTTCAAACTTCATTGGAGGATTAATTACCATGAGAACTCATATGCTTTTAATAACTACCATTATCTGACTGTAATTTATGGAGTTATGCGCTTTTATACAATTGCCGAAGTGGTGTCCGCTCAATATCTTGAGTAAGCAGATGAACTTCCAAATTCATAGGAAGGTTAGTTACATGTACCTTAAGAGCTTAGATAAGTTGGATAACCACTATTATCCGACTGTTATTTACAGAGTTATGCCCCCTGAATATCTGACCATAATAAATAGACTTATTCCCCTTGGTTTCATTAATGCAATACTACATGCATTCAATGATGTTTTATTGCACTCATTGATCTACCAGGTATGTTGAATAAGTTCTCCTGTGACATCAATTACTCACAAGTATTTCATATATTAAAAACGATACAGACAAGTGCTTATTCAACGAGTGACAGGCATGTTTTGTAATGCTTCGTGGTACCTTGTTTCTAGATTACAAATGTATTTTGTACTTTTTTTCACCCCTTCTACTTTCCATTTTGCCTTTGATTTTAGAATCATCCCTTTAAACTTTTCTTAATATTCTTAAGTTCTAGTTCTCTTTCTGTGTCTGTGCTAATTTCAATTGATATTTTATCAGAGTATGATTTAGTTCATTTCTCTTCCATCTTTTCTTCAGTACAGTTTCTTATCTTCTTCAGATATGAACAGTATCTTATTGTTCAACCTCATTATTTTAATAGTCTCCCATAGAAGTTGATCAACAATTAAATATACATGTATATTTCCATTTTCTTCATCAGGTTATCTGTACTGATTCCATGTGCCTGTAATAAACTGCTTTACTGTTGTACATAATGAGTATCATGAAGTAAAGTATTGTTAAATTTTCAGGTACATTTTCCTCTTTGTTGATCTATTAACTTAAAAGAAACAAAAACAGGGGAGTAATTAGATGTACAGCTTCCCCAATCTCTGTGTTCGAGACCAATGCTAATCTAGACGTGCCTCAGTTTTCCACGAAGATCGTTTTGTGCCTGGATTAGATTCTCTCCATATATCTAGAGCTGACATCATATCCTGAGTTCTTTTATTGACTCTTTGGATTATTTTTTTTTATGGTAGAAATGCTATTTAGTGCTGCATTTCAAGTTTTCTTTGAATATTCCCGAAGAAGGGCGGTCTATCATCATTTGGGCTAAAAATTTATTTTGATTGAACAATTTAATCTCAAGTATTAGAAAATTACCATTTGTGTCTTTAATTTTTTCACTACGTCAAGTTGGAATGTATTTTTGAAGCAGATTGGTACTCCTCTATAGACTATTGCTAGAAAAGTATAAAAATTTGGCAGTATATCATCACTCATTCATCTGTAAAATGTGTGTCGGTAAGAACAGAGCTATCTTAATTATTTCTACACCCATCAAATATGTCACATCCTTTACTTCTATTTGATGCTAAACCGTGCAAATAAAGCAGCCAATTTTTGTGTCACCTACACAACTCGAGGCGACATATACATGTAGGTATTTTATAACTTTGTCGGTGGCGTCGGTTACGTCATCCGAAACGGTTTCCATGCGAAAACCTGAGTTTCCTTGAGTTGATTGAACTCAAACTTTGTACACTTATTGCATACCAATATAGCTCAAACGAGTGAGCATGTCAGAAGTTTACATGCATTTTTGATGGAGTTATGGCACCTTTTATTGCCAAATAAGGGCATTGTGTAGTAAATGCAAGAACTTTTTTTATTTTTGAATCAATTCCTTTCAAGTTTTGTATGGTGATGCTAGAAGCAATAATATATTCATTAATTCACAATATTAATAACAATATATATTACAGATTTTTCTGTCAAGTTTCAACTTTCTGCATTTTGGCATATCACACTTAATGGAGATGGAGATATTGAATATTTCACAAGTTCAATACATGTTGCTATTTCCAGTGCATCAGACCTGCAAAAGGTCAAAGTTCACAATCTGAGTCCTGCCCACCTGATCAGCTACCATCCAGACCGAGACATTCTCCCAATCGTCCTCGCCAACTGTAACTACTCGTTTGAGGTTGGCAAGGGTACCAAGATTGAGTACGACTTTGGAAACATTGAGAGACAACTGGGAGACCGATTCTTGTTTGCAAAATCATACATTGATATAGATGAGGTAAGGGGTGATGTAAAAAAGCCTTACTGAATTGCCATATAGCAGATATCTGAATATAAACTTGAAGTAAATCTTTTAAGTATTTCTCCTTCTGTATGAAAGGAGAGATTTTAACCAAATTATGTCTAAAAATCCTTGAGCAACAAGAATTCAATTTTGAACTGAGGGTGTGCCCTCCCTTCCATTTATGGCAGAGAGGTTGGGCCCAATAGGGGAAATTCATGTATTTATTTAAAATCCTTCTCCTTCTGTAGGGATTGAACAGATTTTAACCATTTTTTTTTCAAGAACATTTCTTGACAAAGGGAAAAGACAAAGAGTATGGTTCCCTCTGGGTCAGGGGGAAATTAGGGATGATTTTTTAAAATTCTCCTTCTGCATGATCAGAACGGAGGGATTTCAACACCAAGTTTGGTGTATATAGCATCCTTGGCCAAAGGGACTCAATTTTTGATAAAACGAAGAGTGTTGGGCCTCCCTGGAGGGGAACATGGGGATAAATGTTTAAATCCTTCTCCTTCTGTATGAGGCAGTAGAGGGGCAGTGCCCAATAGTGAAATTTTAATTTTAGGTAAATCTTTCTCCTTTGATAGAAATAATGAGATTTTAACTATTAAACAGATGTTGTGGTCCCTCAGGGGGCAAAGGGGTGGGGCCCGAGATTGGAAATTGTTAAATCTCTGAAATATTCTCCTTCTTAATGAACATGAAGGGATCTTAACCAAATCAAGAAAGACTCAATTTTATGAGAAAGGGGCAAGAGGGTGAAATAGAGGTAAATCCTATAAATCCTTCTCCTTCTGTAGGAATGAAGGTTTTTTCAATTAATTTGGTCTAGAGCCATCCTTGAGCTTAGAGGACTCAGGTTTTCCCTGGGGGCAGAGGGGCATGGCCCATAAAGGCAAATAGAGGTAAATTCTACAATCATTTTCATTATATACAGTTTATACATAACTTCACACAATGAAAGAGTTAACCTGTTTATTACTTGAGTTAAGACACAGATATGAATGTGCAAGCAAAGAACAAGTACTAAAACCTACTGTAAACATTTGGCGTATCAGGGGCTACTCACTCTATAACCTACTAATAGTAACAAATTATTCTCAAAATATTTTAACGGAAGCTAGACTCTACGAAGTCACAGAGAAGCTTGATAAAGATTTAACGGAAGCT